GGGGGAACTCTGGCACTCACTAACGGGCACCAGTCATGAGACCATCAGGAAGACCCAAGTGCTGCCTGTCTAGGCAGACCAGAAACCAAATTTACACCTGACAAGTGGAGTCATCACAGAGCTTAAACCCAACAGGCGAGATCAGATGGGACCCACAAAAGCATTAATAATTGATTCCATGGGCCATTTGGAGGTTTTCGTTTTAATAACTTGGCAAGAGAAATTTGAAGCTGTGCCCCCCAAAGAAATTAAGGCATTTTTCAATCAGACACCACCCCAAGTTGTCAAAACCCCTCCCCACCCTGTCCAGCCCTCCCTTCAGACACAGGGAGGACAGAGCGGTTCACAGCTGTCAGGCAGGAGGAAGGGAAGGGGGAGGAGGCCCATTTGAATGCTCACCATTATCATTGTCTTGTTGCAAGTGACTGATCATGAACGGGATGGGGTCCTTGGGCTGGTGGATCAGGAGTTGCTCCAGCATGTTCTGTGGGCACAGGGCAGACACCCAAGTGGTTAACAGCTGCGTGGGCAACCAGAGCCCTGGGCTCAGGCTCAGGTGGCCCAGAACCCTGGTCGCTACCAATACCGGTTATGGGGCCTGATCTCTCCACCACACCCACCAAACATGCCTTCAACTTGGGATCCAGCCCCTGCTCCAGCTGCTGTCTGCCTGGGTCCCCATGAGCAGAGGCATGAGGGAAGGGTCGTGTGGGTATCACCGGGGAGGCACCTGGAGGGACTGCCCCTGGACTCAGAGCCGGCGGGCCCAGGGTCCTCTCCCCTCAGTCCCTTTGTGCTTCCCAGACCAGCCTTCTCTCAGTTCTCTTCATGCACCATGTTCATGTGCCCCTCAGAGCCTTAGCAAATGCCGTTCCCTCAGCTTATAACACTTGTCCCCGAGTCCTCCGGTCTCCATGGAAACATACCTTCCTGATCACACTCACTAGATAAATCCCGTCATATGCTCCTACAGCTCCCTGTTATTGCCTCACCCTTGTCCCGGTGCTGGGCACACTCACAGTAGGTGCCCAATGCCAATAACTGCTGGGGGGCATGGCTATCCCTGCTACCCGTGTCCCTCCGGGGTGGGGCAGAGTATTTACCAGCCAAGTATCTCAACAGTCCTGGGCTAGTCTGACCATTTAATCCCAAGGAAAACCAGCTTCCATGGTTCCAGAACAAGAGGCACAGAAAGGAACTGGGTAGATAATAGGAGCTGTGCTGGTGCAGGAAGGAGCATCCTTCAGGGACAACCAGGGAGGGGTGTTTGCTCTTTGGGGGCGGAGGGCGTGTGGATGGGTAGGGCGCTCGGAGCTGTGAGAAGTCCTAGCTCCGCTCTGCACCTCACCAGCAAGCCCCTTCCCTTATCTGAGCCTCAGCTTCCCCAGCTGGTGGAGGGCCCAACTGGCAGAGGCCTCCAGTCAGCTCTCACTGAGGAGACAACATGAGATGATGCTAGCTGGTTTACAGATGGGTGTTTTTAATTTTGCTTTGAAGCAGTTGTATCTATTGTGTATTAGGAAACCTAGGATTTCAAAGATATTGCTCAGGAGGAGGTAAAACAGGTTGATTTCTTTTTTAAGTGGGTTGATTTAAAGAAATGACTACGCGAAAGTGGAATTGTGGTGGGGGTTATATGAATCGATATATGTGATAACATCTCATAGAACCGTGCAGACAGAAAAAGAAAGAAGTGCAGGTAAAAACAGATGAAATCCAAAAAAGGCCTCCATCTGGTTAATTGTCTTGTAGGACTGTGAATGTCAAGGAGTGACGTTAGATGGTCTTAGTAGGCGGAGCTGGGGAGGGGTACATCAGAACTCTGTACTATCTTGGTAACATCCTGTGGGTCTAAAATTATTTTAAAAGAAAAAGTGTAAGAAATGAAAATGGTAAGATCCACGGAGGGAACACACACAAATGACTAAGGACTGGAAATACTGGACTAAAAGCTTCTGCAGACTGTTCCGTCCAAAAATCACTCTGAGATACAGCAGGCTCCCTAGAACAGACCACAGCGCCCCCAGGAGCTGGCCCCATCCTGCCCACCAGCGGATGACTTACAACTCAGCTGGCCATTTTCTTTTCTTAGACTGGCCACCTGGTTTCAGATAAATCTCTCTCCCTCCCTCTGCCAGTTAACACTTTCCAAAGGAAGCATGTGTTTGCTGGAGAGATGGTGACACTTCTGAGTCTGGGCTCTGCTCTCAGGTGTGCAGGTCAGAGGCTCAAATGAGCACAGGGGTCACCACAGTGGTGCCTCTGGGGATAGGGTGTACCTGGAGGAGCAAATGCTCTGGAAACTGGGCTCCAGCTTCCCTTTGGCCCTCACAACCTCTGAGCGACAGAGAGTTCTTTCAGTCCGGCTCCTGAAAGCCTTTCTCTCCAGGAGGTGCAGAAGGGCAACCAGTAGGGGCAGGGCTTTGCTAAAGCGCACACAGGGAGAGAGGGCCCAGTAAAGTCAGACACCCAGGATGAGAGGTTGGGAGCAGCCCGGAACTCCTGCCCTAATGAAGAAGGGCCATGTGGGAAATGCTGCCGCCCAAGCCACAGGGCTGCTGTCCCGGGTCGCAGCCATCTCAGGGGACGGTGATGTCACCTTGAACTCGGACACTCCCCAGCTCAGAAACGAACACTGCAGACAGGCTGGGGACTGTCAGCGCGGGAAGGGCCCCCAAATGCCAGCTGCTGGAACTGAGAAAAGAATGGGACTTGGTCCAGGCCATTGAGCTGGCCGGCCCAGAGCCATGACCAAATCCTGGCCAGGTGGCCTGCCCCCTTTCCTCCCTCCTGGGTCCGCGGGGCAGGGACGCGGGGCGTCCTCCGACCGAGTCATCCCTCGGGGTCCCGGCGGTACAGGAGTCGGACAGCCCCCAGCTGCGGGGTCGCCGCCGCCCACCCTATCGCGACGGAGGCTCCCGGCCGGCGCCCGGTGTCGCGACAGGGCGGGGCCGCCTCGGTCACCTGCATCAGCTCGAAGACGTGGTACGTCTCCCCGTACTGGGGCATTTCCGGGGGTATGTGGTGCGGGGCGGTGGTCGCGTCCATGCCGCGGTGCAGCGCGCCCGCTCCCTGGAGACAGCCGTCGCTAGGGCCGGCGCGCCGCGCGTCATCAGCACGCGCCCGCTCCCTGGAGACCGCCGTCGCTAGGGCCGCCGCGTAGCGTCATCAGCGCGCGCCCGCCGGCCCTCCAGGCTGGAGCAGGGCTTGGTCCCCGGCTCCTCGGCCCGCGGGACCAGCCGCCGGGGGGGGGGGCACGTGCTTCCCCGCGCGGGCCTCGCTCCGCAGTCTGCACGTCTCAGCGGGAAACCTCAGGCCGCTCCAGCAGTGGCCTTCTAGGACCAGAGGTGCCTCGGGAGGGCCCCCGGTGCTGGGACGCCAAGCGGGGGGACGGGAGGCGGGTCCTGAGCTGGTTCCGCCATCGCACCCCGACCCGGGCGTTGGGAGCTCTGAGGGCCGGCCCAGTTCTGCTCTCTGGGCCTCAGTTTCCCCATCTTTAAAATGAATAGAAGTTGGGGAATGGTTTGAAAAAGTAGGGGAGTCCCTGGGGCGGGAGGGAAGGCCTAGGCCCACGGGGTGGGGCGGGACTGCCACGTGACCCGATTGCTATGGCACCCACGGGAACAATCGGGCCCGCGGCCCCGCCCCTTTTCATCGACCTCTCCACCCCACCCACCCGCCTCCCCAGCCCTGGGAAGGGCCTCCCCGCCCCTCCGGGGCCCCAAACAGCCTCGGAGGCACTCCAGCTTCAGAGCGCTCTGAAGTGAAGGCCGCTCTAGGACCTGCAAGGTTAAAGCGGGCCGGGGGCGGGGGCGGGGGCGGGGGCGGGCCCACCCCTACCCCTACCCCTACCCAGACCCTGGGGTTTGGGGGGAAAGGAATGACTGGTGCGGGACCCAGGTGGGGTGGGACATGGGGGGGGAAGGAGCGCTTCGAGTTGCGCCAGTGCCCAGTGGGACAGGGCAGCCTGGTATCAGACACAGCGTTGAACTAGGAGCTCTAGCTTTTTGTCTGTTGCCATTTTTAGGAGGAGCTACTCCTGGTTTTGAGCCCTCAGTGTTCTTAACAAAACTATGGGGTCTGTACATTATGGACAGGACATCTGGCATTGTCAGTACAGATTGCCCCGAGTTCAGCTCCTGGCTCCACCTGGCCTTGTGAGCCTGCTCTTTGCCTCACTTTCCTCCCCTGTGAAGTGGGGATTAGGGAAGGATTCCAGGAGCTAATATACCTGAAGTATTGGTAACTGGCATGTAGTAAGTGCACAATGCATAGGGGCTACTATTAGTCATATTATCTCGTTTAATCTTTGCACCAGCCCTGAGAAATAAGTACCTTCATTCCCATTTTACAGATGAGAAATTGGAGGATCAGAATGGTGAAAAGTGGTTGTGGCTGAATGACTTCTGGCAAAAGTCTTTTCCCTTTTCTGGGCCTCTTTCCTCATCAGGGGTTGATCGTGAAGCATTAAAATCAGAAGTCCCCTTGAAGATCTTCTAATCCAAACCCCCTGATTTTACAGATGGATAAACTGAGGCCCAGAAAGGGGAAAATTCTTGGCTAGGTTCACTTGTTAAGCAAAGGCAGAGCCAGGGCTGACGTCTGACTCCTAGCCAAAGCCGCCACCACCAGCCACTTGTCCAGAGACATGCCCTCCAATGTAAAAGGCTGCAGTTCTGCCTCTTCCCCTCAGAGCTGCTTCCTCAAAGCGTGCACACCTTGGTTGGCTTGTCAAAGACAACTGCAAAGACAGCTGGGGAAGAAAAGGAAGCTGCCTCCCCCCTGAACAAAGAACACAACAACCAAACCCGCAATTTGCACTGGAGAGGTTCACTTTGCTTCCTGGACATTTCTGAAATGACTTGCCTTTCTCCTCATTTATTTTAAGCCTTAGGCGATTTTCATACCACGATTTAATCTTCTTTAGCAGCCTGGAAAAATACAAATCAATTAAAGCCTAAAACCTATTGGGTAATAATTTTTTCCTTCCTCCTCCCCAGATCGAGAAGTGCCTGCACCCTGTGCCTTTCATCCACACTAATTTGGCTGCAGTGACTCTCGTTCAAGGGACAGTCACTTTGGATAGCTTATTACAACTCTTCTCACAACATTCCTGGCTCACATGTCACAAGTCTCTAGGATCAAGAGCCAAGTCAGTTTTGCTCTCAGGGCCTCTTGGGGCCACCAGCCGAGGTAGTGCTATAACCTTAGAGAACTTGACAGCCCCAGGAAGCCCCAGGAGGGTGGCAGGGAGTCAGACACATAGGGCAGCCCCTTAGGGGATGGGGAACAGAGAACAGTCTCATGGGAGTGGAAAGGAGGCCCAGGGGTCCAGCCAGTGCATGACCCCTAGGAGGGTTTGAGCAGCTTTTCGGGCCTTTGGTATCCCCTCCACCCCACCCACCCACCCACTCCCAGCTCTGGTCAATCTGATGTCTGGCATGTCTGTCTCTATGGACCATCACAGAGGGAGGAGGGAGCTATCCGAGAGCCCAGACTTTATAAAGTCAGGCAGAGCTGAGTGGGACATCCTGGTTGGCTCACTTTTCCTAGCTGGGTAACCTCAGCTTCGTCATCTGTCATGGGATAATCGTGGTACCTTCATAGGTGAGGACTTAATGCACGGCCAGGGTTTTCCTAGGGCCCCACGGAGAGTAACTGCTGTTAGGAAGGTTGGGGTGGGTGTTCAGGATCTCCCTGAAGGCTGGAGCATGGCTCTAGTTTGCCCTGCCCCGCACCCACCCACCCCCTGCAGAGGACCCTCTTGCACACTGTGAAGCTCTTCATCCGGACACTCCCAACCCACTGCCCAGCTTCCTCTTCTCTTTAGCAGTGCCCTTATCTAAAACGTGGTTCATTCACTCATCTTTAGTGTCTGCCTCCCACTCTGAAAGATAAGTCCCTCCAGGGAAGGGGATCTTGTCTATTTTGTTCAGTGCCGTGTATAGCCCAGCACTCAGAATGGTGTCTGGCATGTGGGAGGCATTGCAGAATGAATGAAAGAACGAATGAACGCATGACGTGCTTCTTACCCCTTTTGGCCTTCAGTGGTTCTCCTAGCTTTGTCTGATGCTTAGGTCCCTTGGCCTCACTCCGTCCACTGCCTTCTGTGCTTGCTCACAATATTCCACATAACCCCCTCTCAGCCTCTAGCCAGGGTCCCCACCCCTTCCCCACCCTCCCCACCTCTCCTCTCCGGGAGGTCAAGTCCTCAGCAGCCCCTGCTGCTTTCAGGGTGCACACTGTGCCTGTCGTGGCCCGCTCCGTGATTGTGTGCACACCGTGGAATCACAGCTGCTTTCACTGCCCCGACAGCCGGGCGCTGCCACATTCCAGGGCCTGGGCTCCACACCTGCCACCTGCCGCGGTCCTCACCCCAAGGCTGGGAGGCTGGCCCTGTCCTCTCCCAATAGCACGTTAGAACGTGGAGGCTCACCCTGCGGCGGCACCGGGACTTGAAGCCAGGACTAGGGGACTCCCCGGCTTGGGTTCTTAACCACCCAGCACAGCCCCGAGCGTTAATGGGGGAAGGCCAGACGGAAAGCACATGCTCCTGTTCCTCCCCCGAAGCGCCGCCGTGTGCTGGGCTCCGACTTTTCTAGGCCTTCAGCCCCCGCGTCACTTGTAAGCCCCAGGCCCAAACTAGGTGAGGCAAGTAAGGCGGTTGCCTTGGCGTAGAATGTGAAGGGCACCAAAAACCCCCGCCATCAGGACGAATAACATTTAAAAACATCAAAACTAATGCAAAAAAAAAAAAAAAAAACCATTGAGAGTAAACTATTAAAAATTTAAAGATGGGATCAGTATTACTTGTTCCTTTTGCCTCGGACTTCTGTACAGCGAGGCCCCGCACTGGATCCCATTCTGTGTTTACTTAAAATTTAGGCACTTTGTGGACTTTTTGCTATTGACTTTTATTTCTTCAAATCGTGTGTTAAATATTTTTACCTGTCCCGATTGCTGGGCTTTGTGGTGCCCCCTTCAGTTTCACACCGAGTGCCTCACCTGCCTGGTAAGCCTGCACCATTGGAGGCACAACCCAAAACCCTGCCCCCCTTTACCGCGTCCGCCATTGCTGCCTCTGGGCAGGGGGAGGGGGACCTTGGCAGGGGTTCCAGGTGTCTGACAAACAGTGGGCCCCCACCACATCCCCACAACCCAGGCTCCCCTTTGTGCTCTCCCACAGTGGGCAGGCGACTGAGTGGGGAGGACACGGGCGCCCAGCCCGGCCCCCATAGAGCTGCAGCTGCTGTGAGCAAACAGGCCCCGTGGCTCCTGGGGGGCGGGGGGCGGCGCTGGGCACTGCTGCTGCATGTCCTCCTCGACCCACTGAGGTTCACAGGACGCCATTATCAGGGCGCATCCTGGCGCGGCTCAGCTCCCAGCCCTCCCCAAGTTCTCTGTTGTGCTGCCCCCGTCATGTCCTGGAGGCCACCTTCTCGTCTGTTCTTGCATTTCCTTTCATCCCTCTTCTTGCCACGGAGATGCCCTCCCTGCCCCAGCCCTGCCGTGGGCTCGGGATGCTGAGGGAGACACAGCAGAAATGGCCTCCCGTCTCCCTTGGGCTTGCTCTTCTCCACCTGGGGCCTGCCAGGAAGCCTGGAATGTCTTCTGCCCCACCCCAGCCCTTGCAGTGACTCGCTTGGACCCTAGCTTGGCTCAGCCTCCTCTGACCCCCGCTCACACAGGGCACATGAAGTGCTGGTGGTGTCTCGTGGTGGAGGCGTGGCGGCTGGGACAGCTTTGAGGACTCTGGTTAGATGTCAGGAAGCCTGGGACCTTGGGTGTCCATGACAAGCTTGTTGTGACACACTGGACTTCAGCTGCCCCCCGCCCCAGGAGTTAAGGGGAGTTGACCGACTGAGGTCTCCCAGTTCTGGAGTTCCATAAATCTGGGACCTGGGTATCTTGCACAGGCTCAGCAAAACTGTGATGTCACAGAGAGCAGAACCCACAGCCTTCTCTGCTCACAGAAGATTCTAGATGCCTTGTGGACTACCTGAACCACACACCAGGGACAGTCTGTGAGGCACCAAAAGAGAGCACTCCCCATGGCGTTAATGTTTCCCATCAGGCCAGCCCCTGCCCTGAGAATGTGCCAGCCTGAGATCAGGGCTCCTGACCCAAGCACAGGGCAGGGAAACTGCATCTTCTCACACTCGACAATCCAGTACAGGCTCTTCCCCTGCTTGGCCCACTGGAAACAATCCTTAGACTTTCCCACCAATTGCAAAGAGGCAGATGTTTTAAAATGATTTGGTCCAAACTGATAATCACAGATTTTATTTTCTGTGACATATGCCGTGCTCCCCTCTGTTGCTGACAGCGCAGGAAGGCATGGAGGCTGTGTGTGTGTGTGTGTGTGTGTGTGTCCAAGGTCTGGAGAAACTGAGGACCAGAGCAATCCGTGTCCACACTTGAGGGAAGGAAGTCACAGTTGATGGCAAAGAACGTGTCCTTGGAGGGTAAAGGGACCTGGGTCAGGCTCTACTCTGTCTTGGACGGCCTGGGGCATCTGGAGTGAGTGTGGGTCTCACCCAAGAGGAGCCTAGGCATGCTGGTCTGGAACTCCAGAGCTGGGTCTGCAGTCTGTGCCCAGGGCCTCAGCCCTGCACTCTTCCTCCCCATAGATCCCCCTTCTCCTGTGAATGACCGCTGAGGAAGACAATGAATGAGGCGAAGGAGTCTCTTCGAAACATTGAGCAGAAGTACAAGCTCTTCCAACAGCAACAGTTCACCTTCATCACCGCTCTGGAGCACTGCAGGGAGAACGCCCACGACAAGATCCGGCCCATCGCCAGCATCGGACAGGTGGCATCCCGTGGGCTGGCGGGCAGGGGGGGGCCGGGCCCCCAGGGGCCTGCCAGGCCCAGAGATTCCTGCGTGACACCTTGCTTGAAAGATAAAACTGAGGCCCAGAGGGGGCAAGCACCTTGTGCCAGAGTCAGGACTTGGAGCTTAACTAGTGGAACGAGCCAGGCATCCCCTCCCCAAGTATGTGAGTAAATAACAAAGTGGTTACAAACATGGGCTGGAGACTGCCAGCCACGGTTCAGGTCCCGGCTCAGCCCCACGCGCCCTCTGCGACCTCCAGCTGGGAGTCACCTGTCTGTGCTCCAGTGGTCTACTCTGTAGAGTGAGCACCTCCAGGGAGTATGCGGAGTTAGGGAGATCATGAGGGAGACTCTCAGCCAGCGTCTGATGCCTGCGGTCCCAGCTGTCAGATCCTACTGCGATCGGAGAAACAGCGAGGTGCCAAGCACATTGCTCCACCACCCCCCCCGCCCCCGTCTGCACACATTTTCACTTAACCCGGTGTCCTCCTGAGTTAGCTCTATCCCAGTTTGCTCTGCCAAAGACCGAACACGCCTTCCAGGAAGCAGCACACGTAGGTGGGACCCTTCCAACTGCACACATGCCTTGGGCCCACGAGTCAGCTTGTGGAAGGCCAGTGGCTCACGGCGTGGGGGCATGGGGCAGGTGCGGCCTCCAGAGCTCAGAACTGCTTAGGAAAAGTGCATGGGCCCACAGGGAATAGCAACCCTGTCAGCATCCTTCAAAAAATCCTTTCTTCTAATATATGTAAAAGCCTCTCCTGGTTTTTTAACTTGAAAACTTTTTAAACCTACAGAAAATAGCCTCTTTCCCCTGAACTATCTGGAAGTCAATTAGCTACATCCTTTTTCTAGCCCGTTCCCCAAAGGCTCAGACTTCCAAGGCCACGGGACAGGTTTATCAGGAAGGAGCATCTGAGACCCACACCCCCACCGCTCTCACCCGCACAAGGGAGTGGCCTTCTGGCCTTAGGTTCAGCAAAGGCTCTTGGTAAACAACGGCCCCAGGGTTTGACTCTCTATGGGAAGCTTCGATTCTCGGCCTCACCCTGCCCTCCCTGAGCCTGGGTTATCCAGAGGTAACCAGCACACACACCCGGTAGCCCAGTGACTGCTGTGTTGTAGTTACACCGCGGGGCAGGCCCCTCCTCACCTTGCGCGGTGCCGTAGCAGATATGGAGGTGGCCAGAGCCCCCCCAGAGCTGCTGGACTTGGAACCACTCAGATCATTTGGGAGGACATCCCCTAGCAACGGAAAGGCAACCTGGTTTAGACTTAGAACTTTCTGGCTGCTAGAGGAGGGAGGTGATGTCCCCAGCCACCGGCCTGCCACGGGTAGGGCCTGCGTTGGGGAAATGGGCCAGTGAATCCTGCCTAAACCGGAGCCAGTTTCTCCTCAGCCCAAGGCCAGGCCTCCCGCCGTGCCGGACCTCAGAGTCAGTGACAGGGGGCGGGGCGGGGGGGGGTGGAGTTGGATAGAGAGGAAGAGCCCCTGCCCGGGAAGGACCTCCGTTCCCCCCAAGCAGAGGGGTTGAACGTGGATCGGCCATCTCACCGTTCTGAACACCTTTAATGACTTGAGAAAGGCGTCCCGACTCCTGCATCTGGAACACGTTCACAGGGGAGCTTTCGTTTTGTTTTGGCATTTAAGATCTTCATCCTAGAGTTGGTGTCAGTGTGTGGTGTGAGGTACAGACTACCTTCTATGGGTGATGCCTCTGCTGGCTCCCTTTGTCCCCCCTTCCTCTACCTTGGAAACACAGGACAAGGAAACTTGAGAGAATTCTAGTGCCTTCTCTTTGCTCCTCAGTGGGGCCTGAGTGGGACTGTGTCCCGAAAGGTCAGGGAGCAGCGCTCTTTGCTTTGGGTGTTGGCTGAGGTGCGTGGCGCCCGGTGGGGTTTAGATGAGCGTGTTGAGAGCTGTGAGGTCCAGCCTGCACGGCGCTTGGCACAGCGCCTGGGACGCTCCGTGACCGTGACTGTAGGTAGTGGGTCTGCATGCAGACGCTTCAGTGTGACTGGCGTCTGCCCCGTGACTCCGCCTCCTGAGCGCCCAGCGTTTGGCCCCCACAGGTGCAGAACTACACGGAGCATTACTGCAACAACTCCACAGACCGGCGCATTCTGCTCATGTTCCTGGACATCTGCGCAGAGCTGAACAAGCTGTGTCAGCACTTCGAAGCCCTCCACTCCGGCACCCCAGCCACCAACAACCTGCTTGAGAAATGCAAATCCCTGGTTAGCCAAAGCAACGACCTGAGCAGCCTCAGAGCAAAGTAAGTCCCTTCTGGGCCTGTTCCGGAGGCCCCAGCGGCCTGAGCACGGAGGGCAGTGGGGCCGGGAGGGAGAGGGGGCGACCCGCAGGAAGAGGCAGGCTTCTGCGGACAGGGCATGTGCGTCCCCGCGGGTGGATCCTGTGGCGACTGTCCAGACCGCCTGCCCTGGTGGGAAATCCCAGGCCCACTGACTTACTGGAAGGGCCAACCCCACAAACCGTTTTAGTGCAAATGAGGGCTGCTGAGGCCGCAGGTAGGGTGGAGCTGGTACCGGACAAAGGGAAGGGGGGGTCGCAGGGCACGCATTCCCAGAAGCCCACGGAGAAGCCCCAGTACCGCCAGCGCGGCTCCCTCATTCTGCACCCTGGGGGCCCTCAGCACAGAGTGCCCTGTTCCAGAGCATGCCGTTTAGTTATCGGGGTGAAGAAGAGGCAGAGGGACTAACCAGCAGGTTTTGGAGCAGTTACGGCAGGTTTCCACGGCCCCTGATCTGGGGTTCTACAACCACAGGCAAGTGGTTCGAGAGTCCTGCCCCTCACACCTGGATTAGCCAGGGCTCCTGGGCCGCAAGCCCGCCGAACCACGGTCCGGTAGAGAGTGCAGCTCGGGAAGGAGCATCTGAGACCCACACCCCCACCGCTCTCACCCGCACAAGGGAGTGGCCTTCTGGCCTTAGGTTCAGCAAAGGCTCTTGGTAAACAACGCCCCCGAGGAAGCAAGAACACAGAAGCTAAGTCGCCCCCTGTGAAGGGAAAAGCCAACAGTCAGTCAGAACTTCCAGCAAGCTCAAAAGCCAGAGACACATTCTATAATGTCGGGGCCTTGACTGTGTTGTGAAAATCAGGAAACTGTCCTTGCACGGGAGCCATAAAATCAGAATTCTTCCGGTTTCTCTCATGGTCTCCCCTCTCCCAAGTGAAGGAGAGCAAAGGCAGGTTCGTTCCCCTTTGGGTTTTGGTTCAGAGACCTAATCACACTGAGGAAGTCCACCGTGCCGGCCCTCAGCATCCTGGTTTTGGAGCAGTTACGGCCCTAAGCCTCCCCGGGGGATTCTGAGGGGCGGCCAGGATTAGAGCCTGCCCCAGGCCTGGATGGAGCCCTCTTGCTGCCCCACAGGTACCCTCACGACGTGGTGAACCACCTCAGCTGTGACGAGGCCAGGAACCACTACGGAGGTGTCGTCAGCCTCATCCCCATCATCCTGGACTTAATGAAAGAATGGATCGCCCACTCAGAGAAGCTGCCCCGCAAAGCCCTGCAGCATGTGAGTGAGCCCCAGGCAAGCCAGGAAGCCACCGGGGCGGCTGCCCTCCCTTCCTGGACCACAGGCACCCAGCCTCAGTTAAGAAAGCACAAATGTAGGCGACTTACAAAAGACAGCCCCAAACGTAGGGGGAATGACACAGGATGTTTCAAACCTCCCTGGAGACCACCTGGCGGGAAACTGTAACTCATAGCCGGCAACCTGCTGCGTCCCGTAGCGTGCTTGGTCACTTAACTTGGTCTCCACTGGCTGATCCATTCTTTGGCATCCACAGTCCCCACCACGGATGAACCCCAGAGGGGCCTGCCCAATATACTGTTGAGAACCTCTCTCCCTCTCTCACTTTCACTTCTAAGCTCTCCTTACCTCTTGAGTGTCAGGCTCTGTGCCAATGAAGAGGACCTCCACTTCTGGTGTTGGTGGGAGCAGGTGTCCCGGGGAGGCTGCTGAGAACTGGGGTCACCGGCCTGCCCAGGTACTCTGGGAGCTGCCAGCCCGCACCCTGCCAGGCCTGGCCACGCTGCAGGTCTAGCTTTCTGGGCCGAGCCGCCGAGCCAGAGGCCTGCCAGCTCCTTTCCCACCACAACGGCAACCGTAGGTAAGGCTCGGCTCCTGCAAGGTCCAGCTGCTCAGCCTGCCAGGATGCTGAGGGCCGGCACGGTGGACTTCCTCAGTGTGATTAGGTCTCTGAACCAAAACCCAAAGGGGAACGAACCTGCCTTTGCTCTCCTTCACTTGGGAGAGGGGGGACCATGAGAGAAACCGGAAGAATTCTGATTTTATGGCTCCCGTGCAAGGACAGTTTCCTGATTTTCACAACACAGTCAAGGCCCCGACATCATTATAGAATGTGTCTCTGGCTTTTGAGCTTGCTGGAAGTTCTGACTGACTGTTGGCTTTTCCCTTCACAGGGGGCAACTTAGCTTCTGTGTTCTTGCTTCCTCGGGGGCGACCGTCAAGAATAAAAAGTGTTTTCCCATCTCTCTGCCTGGCTTGGTTACCTGGGAGTTATCCCTTCTTTATTTACCTTGACACCTCAGAGGACACTGGCCAGTAGCCTCACAAGCAAAACCATGAGCAAAGAGCAACCACTATAGACATTTGCTCTCGGGGGGTTCATGCCAAAGACCCACAGACCAGCTCGTAACTGGCATTCCGTAGTTAGAAGCTGTTCAGACAGGAATCTGAATAGACATCTGAATTTTCCAGACGAAATAAAAAACTGCCACCTCTGAGTCTTTCTCTCAAAGGGCTGCTTCCGCCATTAACATGGGCAAAGCACACCGATTTCCAGGGGCAGCTGGAAATGTCTGTTCCAAGGAAGAGATGGTGAGGCAAGGCTGGACTGAACAATTGTTTGAGGTAGTTTCCCGCCTTCCTCCAAAACCCTGACGACGTAACGGAAGGAAGGTGGTGGGTGCCGGCTGCCCTTCTCCCTGGCATGCTCACAGAACATGACCGGTAAGCTCTCGATGACCTCGGTGTCACCTGGGTGCCACCAAAAGGACTGTATTAAAGCCAATGGCCAGCCAACCCGTAGGGAGGCAAGCATACGCCCAGCACGAGGTGGGACAGCAGTGCAGCCCCTGCAGGCCGTCCGGCTTGGAGAGTCTGGGTGGGGATGACTCATGTCACCTGCTCCATGCCACCATGCCACTCTCGGGGGGGAAGGCAGGAATCCGAGGCAGAGAAAGGGAGGATCTGTGGCTGTGGGCCACAGAATGGGCTAGAACAAAAAGGGTCCTAGAGAGACGAAAGCCAGATTCTACTTGTCAGCACCTCCTCCAGCCACCTGAGGTGACCAACCAGGCCAGGCCGGAGGCTTCTGCACCCGTGGACGGGTCCCTGCTTCACCTATGAGCCCCTCAGAGGCCAGCGTGACTCACTTCATGTCAACACAGCAGAATAGTGCAAAACAATAGATTTTTATTTGTTCACAGTTAAACACAAGCAACTGCCTTGACATTTTAGAACATTCTAAGAAGGACAGCAAACCCTTTTGATTCCAATTCCCATTTACTAAGATTGTACCATTTTCTCTCGCAGTTCTTGTTTATGGCATCTGACGTGGATTGTTTGACATGCTTCTAAGATCAAGGCGGGAAGGTTTAAACCTTTTGACAAGAGGACTTTTCTCAAATTTAACTAAAAGCAGTCAGTTAAAAAAAATCTTTTTTTTTCACTGATGGGATCCCTTTAAACTGCAAGTTAGCCACATGTGGTTGATCCATGATTGAGTTACAAAACTAGATTACGTCTTAACAAAATCTGTTCCTCCGTAATATACTTATTATGGTCCATAGAAGTCTTCTGAAAAGTGATCACTGATTCTTCCTAGTGCAAAATGCCCGGCCGCCTCTTTGATCAGCCAGAGTATCTGCTGCATCCAGCAGCGCCGTACCCTCCTGTCCAAACACTGTAGCGAGGTGGGGAACGGAGGAGGGGGTGATGGGGGGTGGGTCTCAAACTCTCAGGGGTCTCCTCTAAAACATCTATTCCAAGGGTTCAACTGGCCTACTTATCCCAGACGGACAATTCGGTGGTGAAGGGAAGGGAGGGGGGGCAGAGGGCTCCTCTGCAGTGGCAGGTGCAGGGGCTCACTACCCCGGGCAGGCTTCCCTGGTTGCCACAGCCCCTCTTCTCTCAGGTGAGCACGTACAGACCGGAGGATGGCATGGAAAAGACAGGAACCCACTCTCCCTGCACACGTCAGAGAGTCCTGATGGGGACACGAGCCACATGGTGACAAGGGTCACAGCAGCAGCCTTGGGGCCGGGCCCCGACCTGCACTTGCTTTCACCTATACAGAAAAGCGTCACTGAGGGCAACCGATTCCTCTGCCACACCGGCGAGAGGTGGGGAGGGGAAGGGAGGGCTCGAGTTACAGAAGTCTGGGCAGAAACACATACAGACGTGGTGGGGCTGGAGATCAGTTTCCAGCGTACGCCTCCAGAGTGGGAAGGAGCAGAGGTAGCTGCGCTGCTGGGGGTCATTCCGTGAGCCCGTCTCTTGCCCGCAGGAGACATGCGTGGGATCGGGCTCGGCCTAGGACTCCTCTGAGAGAGGCTGGGTGGGCCTCTGCCCGGACCGTGGCTCCGGAGCAAGCCTCCGCGCCGCCCGCACTCGGCTTAGCCGGCCCAGCCCCCACCCCTGGGCGCTCCACGTGGCACTTCCTCTCACTCGTTCCTCCATTCTTTCCGGCTTCAAGCAGCGTGTTCCAGCATTTGGTACCAACTCCCACTGGCTAGTCACAGCGCGTGCTATAGTCTCTACACAGAAACACCCAAGTTTTCATTCGGAACTGTTGAGTCTGAACCCCTACAGCCCAGCTCACGGAGACCCCTCATCGCGGCCGCTGCATCAGCCACCCCCTTCTGCACAGCCGTGAGACTTTGGCCTTTTGGGACAAAACCTCTAGAAACTCCACGGGCTGTGGCAAATGGGGACAGCCCAGGGTCTAGAGTTTCGCGTCCTGTCGTCCTGATTTTGCCCCGTGATGTGCCAGCCTCTTGGACCACAGCGGCACAGTGGGCTCCCCATCCGTGTCAGCGGCTCCCGGATTCCCTGCTCGGGAGCGCCGGCCCCCTTCCCCTCCACAAGGCAAATGCAGCAGTGGACCTATCGCTTCTCTCTGCGCCCACGGAGCCTGGTTAAGAATCCCCAGCAGCTGAAACACTCTGCTGACCAAGCTAGGGAGGCCACGGCCGCCCACTGGCTGCCCACGGCTGGGCCTGGCACTCGGCTCCTGGAAGCCTTTAAAAACCTCCCGACCCAAGAAACGACCTCTGTCTCTTGCCTTTGGATTTATTTTCTTACTCGCGACTAGGTACTTCTTCCAATGCTACACTAACAATTTCTGTAGACCTTATGGCAGAACCCTGTCAAAAGCTTTTTAAAAATCCCTCAAAGTCCCGTCTGGGAGGCCCGTGTGCTTCCGTCCTGCAGTGGACTCGGGAATGCGCTTTCTCTATGGAGACCACGCTGCCACTCGGCCCGGCCCGGCCCCACCGCCCCCGTGATACTGTAGTGCTCCTTTTGAAAACAAATCTCATGCTGCCCAAGAAGCAGACTGCAACCCCAGGGCCTGTGCTGACCCTGGTTAGTGTCAGGTGGGGATCAGAGCAGGTCACGCACACTGGCCACACGGCTCTGAGGCAGGCAAGCCTGACCTGCCCAAGCTGCTGGACCTGATGCTGTAACTATTCTAATACATTCGCCAGCTACCAGGCTCGAATTCTCTGTAATGTCCCTCTACTATCACCTTTCCGTCCTTAAAAAGACTCGCTGCCGCGCAATCGGTGACCTGTTGGCCCCTGGCAGGTTTATTGTTTTTAAAACCAAACTAAACCTTACTATTGACTTGCGTCCTTTGCAACATAAAAGCCTAAATGTTTAGGCTGGGTAACTTCAACAGGCATCCAGGCCTCAGTCCCCCAGCCTTGGCTGAATAAAAAGCCCGGCCCCCTAGAACGCAAAGGAAGCTGAGCGCAGCTCCCCTAGGCTGGCCATGGTTGTCGAGCTGAGCAGCCGGCTGGGCCGAGGGATGTGCCAAGGGCCCTGGGCCCAGAGACCTGCCCACGGAGCCTCCAGCGCAGCCCACTTCACCACGCTGCCTCCCCCTTCTCCCCTATATTTTTACAATCTTCTCAGTTCTTAAAAATGTTTTTTCTTTCTTTACATTGGCCTTTGCCTTTGCCAGTTAATCAGGAAAAAGGCTTTCATTTAAACGCCTGGTGTCTTTGTTCTGTGGCACAGGTCTCTCGGGCTGGGGGAGGGTGAGCGTTTTGACCTGGTTTCAGTAGGAATCCAGTTAACATTTTCTTCCTTTCTGAATTTGCTCGTGTTTTCCTTTCCTAAAACTGAACTAGGAAACAGGACATACTCGATTTTAAGCTCTCCTTTGGACAAAGCTGAATTCACCACATGTGGTTATTGCTAGTCCACACGGGTCATCCAGCAGCCATTGCCGAGCCGGGCAGGGCCGGGCACAGTCAAGCACACCTGAAGATCCTGTCTGGACGAGGCCTCGCGCCAGTGTAGTGGTGGTTGACGCAGCGTCTCTCGTGACCTCGCCCCCTCTGGTCAGGAGTGCTAGAATGTTTACTGCAACACTTAAAAGAAAAGACCTTCGCCCTCACATGCTGGAAGCTTCTGTAAGCAGTAAGATTTCGTACCATTACAGTCTGTCTTTTCCCCCCTCACGGCTGAAACCCCTCGTATACTTTTTAACTAAAAGAATAAAAAAGAGAAAAACCAAGTTCATCGGCTCTTTCCTACCGGTCTCTCCTTGCCTCAGCTGGGACCCTAAGCAACAGCTCTTAGGCTTCTAGCATCTACCTCTGGAGCCTGTGTTGAGTTTCAGATGCTGTGCTGGGGTCACCTCCCCTGAGCGTGTGCAGGCAGCCCAGGGTGCACGTCAGACCGCCTTTGTCAACGCTCGCCAGGACTCTGCTCTGAACTGCTTGGCCACCACTAATGTGTGGGAAGGGAGCAGCATCAAGCTCCCTGGAGGGCCGGCCCTGGAAAATTAGGTTGGTATGAGAAAGCTGTTACCTTTTTGGTGGTCTAGAACCAGCAACGGCGAGGCGGCTCTACTAGCCTGAGAAGCAATGGTCATTTAAATGCTGAAGAAATTCTTTGGGCCTTCAGAGCCTTTCTGCAGCAGCATCACCAAGAAGCTGACATAGATGAGAGGCTCATGAAAACACGAAGGGAGAGAGGCAGACAGACCAAGGCGGGGGGGTGAACCCCGAGGCTCAGCTGGCACAGCCCTGCCCGAGGGGCAGTTCCTCGTCCACAAGCGCTTCTCAGGCAACTGCTCAAGCCACCAACCTCCCCTCCTGCAGAGAGTGGGTTTTACCACCCCTACGCCAGCCTGGTCAGAGCAGTCCCAGCTTTCTAGCAAACACCAAATAAATAAGAGGTAGCGGGGAAGGAGGGACAGAGCATTCCCAAAGGAAAAGGATGGTCTCCATGGTGCCAGCTCCAGACTCCTCTAACAACAGACGTTTGTTCACACAGAACTTTCTAGGAAGCTTATCAGAACTGCCAAAAGAACGTAAGGGGGAATAAACAATTGTTTCTCTAGATCTGCTGCTTTAGAGGCCGCACTTCAGAACCAAAAAGCAGTGACAAGGTCTCATGTGAAAAGCTTCCACATGAAGTTGACCAGCTTCGCCAGCTACATCCCTGTGGAAAGGGACAAGACCAGACTTACCTGCAACACCACCAATTACCTGGGCTAACGGAGAGCCAACCCATTCTCCGAGTTTCAGGAAAGGAGAGAGTGGTGTGTTAGACTCAAAGATTAAATTTGGCCTCATATTGCACAGGTTCAAAGGGCGCAACCATTGTGGGGGAAGGAAGAAAATAAAGCTACTGAGGAATGCAAACTGGCCCTTGGATTAGTCCACACTGCTGGGTAAATGAAAGACAGGCTGGGGAGTGGGCTGAGGGGAAAGTTAAGAGGCATTTCAATGCCAGATCCAAAAACCGTTCTGCATTCAGTCAACTGTCAAAAGGACCTCCATCCCATTTCCACCGCGTGAGCTAGCCACCCAGACCCTGGAGACAGGAAAGCCTGGGAATGTGCATTCACACCTCCTGTTCTACGCCAGCAACCTGCAAGTTAACACTGAGTGACCGTCATCCTTCGCTGTGTTCATGATGAGTCTCGTTGTAGTCCATGATGTGGAGCTGTCCAACACTGTCCAGGTTCGGGGGGGAGGGGTGCGGGCCGTCGAGGGTCGGGGGGGTCTTGGCTTCCGCACCTGAGTCTTTGCCCAGTTCTGTCTTTAGCGTCTCAGAAAGGCTACTGATGGTCACGCTGTCCTCATCACACTGACTCTCACTCTTATTACGAAATAACTCTCGCGCCTTCATGCCCAGGAAGCTTTTTGAACTGGGAAGGGAGCCGACAGTCGTGGGGATGCTGGTGGCAGACTCTCCCACAGTAGTTTCCCACCGACTGCTGAAGAGGCTGGCCCTCTGGATGGGGGGTTTCTCCGGGGTTGAAAGCTCGCTGCTGCTGCCACCGCGGCCAGCTCCACCCCCTCTACTCGCACCGCCGGCCCGCGCGCTGCCGCCAGGTCGGGGGGGCTTGGTGTCGCCGTTGTGGCCAGATGCCTCTTCACTGTGCCCTGTTACGGAATCCGAGCAGCCGTCCTTGCAACAGGCAAGCCTGTAAGAAATCCAGGGAGGAGAAGAAGGGCGGCATTGGCAGTGCCTGCGTGTGTGGGAGGCGTGCAACGACGCTGGCTCACGCAGACACTGAACTCTGTGCTTTCGAGTGGGGAACCTGAGTGGGAGGTCTCGGCAAGGGAAACCGAGTCTCAACGAGGGATGGGAGATGGAGATCGCACATGTGAGCCCTTCCTGTGACCACGATCCCGCGACCTGGGGCCAAGGACAGGGACGCAGAGAGACCCCCGGGCGGCCCCGCCCAAGCCAGCGGAGACGGCTTCTCACGGCCCGAGACGCGGGCCCTGTTCTGCGGCTGGCAGCTCAGGGACTGAGCTGCAGCTCCCGCCTCTTTGTTCCTACCTTTCTTCTGCCGCTTCGGCTGCTTCTGCTTTTTCTTCTTCAAGTTTCTTCAGGAGGCCGTCCTTCTCCAATCTGCCATATAAATCTAAGATCTCCAACTCAAACACTTGGGTGATCCTTTTCTGAGCCTCATACCTGCTCTCTGCAGCCTGCAGCTGTCCTCTGAAACACAGACCACCCAGAATATAGGAAGCCCCACTGACAAAAAAACCCACCACTGCAGAAACCCGTGCCCACCAGAGTTACCTCGCCTGGACTTTGACATCTTCTAAATATTTCTTCTGCTCCAAAAGAAGGTGGTCTTTCTTGGCCAGGTGAGATTCCAGTTCCAAAATCCGTTTCTGGGAGGTATCGAGCCTCTGATTCTGCTGGAGAACGTGGCTTCTGTTTTTTTCTAGTTCTTTCCGACACGCAGCTTTCATCATTTCTACCTCCTACAAGAGGGGCCGGAGTTAGTCCCTAAGAAAACGAGTGTGCTACCTCCGTTGTGCGAAAGCAAGGCACTAAGCACTGAAAAGGCACTTTGGGGCACTGCTGCTGGAAATCTGAATTCGTACAACTTTCTGCAAAGTAAGCTGGCAAGAAGCATTCATCTAGCAACCCCTCCTTGAAATCTGCCCCCGAGGAAATCATGTGAAACACGACTAGACATTTTGGCACAAAAATAATCATTGTATCATGTTTAGAAGAGCAAAAAACTGGAAGCATTATTAAGTCTAATGCCTGGAGAACAGTTAAGTGAATTAAAATACATTTTATATCTACAAGTTTTTAGTAAGCTTACAGTTTATGTATCAGTAAAAAGATAAAAAAGCAAACTTTATATAAAACCACGTGAACAGTAGGACCAACTATGTAAACACTGACATTCACAAACACCAAACGAAACCATACCAATATTCAGTTATTTCAACATAGTGGTGTCTTAGGTGATTTGTTTTCTTTTAGACTCTTCTCCCCTCACACCAAGGGAAAACTAGCAGGCGCAGCGCAGTGGGGCAGGCTTGCTCGGGCAACACTGCCCGTGTGGATCAGGCCCCGAAGCCCGCAGACCACGCCAGGCAGACGGCCTGCCTGCCCAAAGACCGAGCCAGCTGGACACCCAGAGCACGTGTGCACTCGTGCTCAGAAGAGACACGGAAATAACACTCTTCTAACAAGCGTGTGTTACATTTGTATTGTGCGTTTTCACTGTGGTAAAAGGTATACGTAACGTAAAACAGTGCAGCTTTGTTGTTTTTTTAAGGATAACAAACCCTCCGCTCCTGCACACTCTCTTTCAACTAAATAAATAAAATCTTAAAAAAGACTAGAAAACAAACCATAAAAAGCAAGGAGATGAGCTTCCATGGAGGTGTCCCTGCCTCGAAGATGACCAGGGAATGCTTTCCTGGTGTGGAACTCCACAGAGTTAGGCTCAGGACTGGGCACCGGATCATGTGGCCATTCTAGCTGTGCTCAAGGGCTCCAGACGTCAGCACAGGTGAGGTGAAAGAACCGGGCCTTTGTCATCAATGACAGTAGCTCTTTAGAGAGACTCAAACCAGCTACCGAACTAGGAACATCCATGTGCCTCCAGGAACCCTCACAACTACTGCAGGAGGTGTTACACCCAACACCTACCCACCCCGCCTCGTGCCCAACCTGATTCTCAGATACCACCCTGCCTCCCCCATTTGACTGAACAAGAGGAAGCCTGACTCCAGGCCCAAGGGCAAATCCTGACAGTTTCAAGGCAATGACTGAGCTAGGGACGGGCATAAGACACAATCTTGGCTAACAGCAAGGGTGGGAAGTCTGGGGGAGGGTTCCTGGCAAAGTTTCCTCACTGAGAGAGACCCGCAGGAAGCGACCTCTCCTCTTTCAGGGGAAATCATGGTGTCTACCTGTGACTGCCGTTCCTACGGCACACACCTTGCAACCATTGGCACAGCTAGCTGGAGGACAAGGTTGCCAGGAAAGGTCAGGTGGTGCAGAAGAGTGGAAAAAACTGGGTGTTTTGTTTTTGTTTTTGTTTTTTAAGTAATCTCTATGCCCCACATGGGTTCGAACTCACAACCCTGAGATCAAGAGTCACATGCTCCTTCCTGTCCGTACTCTTGATCTCAGGGTTGTGAGCTCAAGCCCCACATGGGGAATAGAGATCACCTAAATAAATTTAAAAAAAAAAATTTAAAAAAACTTTAAAATATTAAAAAAAAAATTTTTTTTTTTAAAGATTTATTTGAGAGACAGAGAGCATGAGAGGGGGGAGAGCCAGAGGGAGAAGCAGACTCCCTGCTGAGCAGGGAACCCGATGTGGGACTCTGATCCTGGAACTCCAGGATCATGACCTGAGCCGAAGGCAGTTCCTTAACCGACTGAGCCACCCGGGCGCCCAATATTAAAAAATTTCTAAGAGGGGCATGCTCTACGGACTGAGCCAGTAAGGCGCCCCAGAACTGGGCTCTTGGATGCTGTCCCTAAACCGCTGACTTGGCCAACCTGGAACTCACCTACTTTGGGACTTCTTGTCAAGTGAGATAGCAAAACTTCTTATTGTTAAGCCGGGTTAGTGGATTTGTTGTTCCTGCTTACAACCATAGGCATCCTAACTGCTACAAGTCAGGGTCATCACGTCCATTCAGGGACCATGAAACAGGGCCCAAAGAGGTCAGGCGGCTCCAAGAGGCCCCAGGAGTCTAAGTGTTCCAGCTGAAGAGGCTGGCCCAGCTGACTTCTCTCAGGAGATGTGAGGAATGCGTTTCAGTCAGCATTTTCAGAGGTTCTCCCCCACTCTGTTCTCCCCCCCTCTTTGGCCTGTTTTCCCCTCATTCTTTTCCACACCCATTAAACCTCCAAAATGAGTGCTAGTTGGTTTCTAGAAAGTTCCACATTTAACATCCTTCTAAAGGGAGTCTGAATCTGAGAGCTAAGAAATAAGGAGAGAATAAGCTAAGAAATAGAGCTGAGAAATAAGGAGTAACTCTATTATGAAAATTACATGTCCCCTACTTCTAAGACTACTTTCTACATTTGGCCAAAAAAGCTTTACAAAGCACAAGCCCAAGAAATCCTAAAAAGAAAGCCTGTGTGTGATGGAGAAGTTAGTGACAGGCAGCATCTGAGCATTTACTATTAAAATTCCATTCCAACTCATTCCCAACTCATTCACTAACATTACCCGAGGGTATTTATAAAGTGACATAAAACTTCTGCCTCAACACCACTGGTGAGACACTAATTAGTGTAAGATCATCCCCATGCTGGCCTTGTTGCCAGGACTGAACCACCATCTGCTGAAATTAAATGCAACATTAAACGGAAGAAAAAATATGTATACTAGTGTATACCCACAGTCCTGAGAATTATGTTCAACAGAACTGGCTCCCTATCCTTTCTTGGTTTCTCTGTCTCTCTCTCGCAGCCGGCCCCAGTAAGAGAAGACAAACCCTTTATCAGCTACTCTGTACCAATTACCGTGAGGTGCTTTCCCTTACCCCTGACCTCATCTCAAAGCGAGCCAACTACGGGAAACAAGCTTGCGCGACGGCTAAAGAGTGTGCTCATCCACCAGGCCGCATCTCGGGAAACATTCCATGTGGCGTGCCAGGCACGCTGCCTGTGTCCTAGGGGCTCCCTGCCCCGGGGTGTCGCTCCCCGAGCCCCCACATACCTTTGTGGTGTCTGAGTGCTTGCTCTGCAGTTGTTCCAGATACAACTCGTTGACCTCTCCAAGGACCAAGAGCTGCCGGTTCAAGAACTCCATCTGCTGCTGGACCGACTCACTGTTTGAGAGCTAACCAAAACACAGGGTGGGCAAAGTGAGGGCCCCCGTAGCCCACATCTGGCAGATGGGCATACACAGGGGCCCGCTAGCAACTCCAGGTTCCAGTGCTAGGGGACAATAAACTCCCACGGTTTCAAATCCCCTAACACAACGGCTGGTGGGGAGGAAGGCGTCCAAAGGCAACGACAACGGACAGAAATGCACTTCAAAATGGTGCTGTGCAAAAGGGAAGCCGCGGAGATTCGCTACAACAAAGTGGCCACCCCCAGAACGCCTGCAGAGGACGGGCGTGTGTGACCATCACTGCAGGGACACAAGGTCCAGGGTTCAAGCCCAGGAAAATGCACTTGTTCGTAAGTGAGCTGTACAGAGTGCGGTGAATCCCAAAAAGGGAGGGATCCTAGCTCAGGAGCTTTGTGTGAACAAACTTCCCATGTTTATGTAAATGAGGATTTAAGAAAGAGTGCCCTGGGTGCACCCACAGACCCGGGTGCAGGCTGGGTAGTTCTCCACTGCGGAACCTGTCCTGTGCATTGTGGATTGGGTAGCAGCACCCAGGCCCCCGCCCACTTGATGTCAGTAGCACCAAAACTGCCCCCACACATTGCCCCTTGTCCCCTGGGGGGTGGAGCAGGGAGGCCACCTCGCTCCGGGTTGGGAACCGCAGCTGGAGGCACACAGGTAACGCACTCGCCCATCTGATGGAAGGACGTCAGCAAGAGGTGCGAGAAGAGGCCCGGCCTGGCCTGTTTCTTACCTTCTGGGACACCTGACTGAGCAGCAGCTCGGTGTGGCACACCTTGCTGTTGGCCTTCTTCAACTCCAGACGCAGCTCTGCGATCATGTTCCTGCAGTCCTCCAGCTTCGTCTGCACAAGGGGACATGCCGGGATGTTACACAGCAGCCCCCGCCAGGACGCCAGGCCATCGGCCCACGGACAAGTGGGGAAGCCCAGCTTCTCAGTTGCTCTACTATTCTTGGGCCACTGGGATTTAGTTTCTTAGTTTTAAAAATTAAGTTAAGGCTGATTTCTGAGTTCCTGATTTGTTTAGCAAAAGAACAAGAAGATCTTACATCGGCTGTCCCCAAACTGTGCACCGAAGAGCCCTGGGGCTACACAGCCAACTCACAGGGGTGCCACGGGGAGATGTTAAGTTTTTGAGGGAAACGCAGTGACACCTGTCGGTCGTCATGTGAACTGCGAACTGGAGACGGTTTATATAGCGAGTGGCGGACGTGCTCGTGTGTGTGGATGACGTCGTTCTGCAAAGCAGGGTTCGGGTGTTTGCTGGGATACAAATCACCATGTGAATACCAGTGTCAGTGTCCAATGTGACTCCAAGGTCTGAGCTTCTCTGTGGTGCCCAACTGGGACACACACAGCACTGGTAAGTTATTGTGGTTGTTTAAAAACAAAATCTAAAAAAAAATTAAATTTAGGTGTATTGTTTGTAAGCAGCTGCTGAGTTGTCGGACGTATACTAAGTGTTTAGATCTGCTTAATAAGCACAACCATCAGGTGTTTCTTTTGGCTGCAGACTGCCAGGGAAGTGACCGAACGCCATGGGAGCTCCACACAACCCGAGAGCTGGGGAACCTCTGCCCTAAATGCGTCTGTGTGCCGCCACGTCAGAGAGAAAAGCCCTTCGTGTCCCGCTGGGCTGAGCTAGGCGCTTTCATGCCCTCTCCCGGCTGCCCGGGCCTGGCGCCCCCGCGCATACCTGCAGCTCCTGGCTCTGGTTGTAGAACTCCTCCCGGTCGTGCTGCAGCTGCCGGATCTGGCTGTGGAGCTGGGTCACCATCGTGTCTCGCTGCTCCTGCAGCTGGCTGCACCGGGCCTGCTCCTTCTGCACGCTAACCTTCCAGATCTGGATGTCCTTCTCTTGTAACTTCAACTGGTCTTTCTAGCGGAGACCAAAGACGTGATCATTTTAGCTGCCTTCCAACGCGGGCGGGGAGGCGCCAGTGTCACCCAGACTGACAGCCACACGCCGCGTGAAGCCATAACCGCAGGCGCCGCATCCGTCAGCTCATGACTGTCCAGCCTGACTGGCGGGCAAGGGTTACCAATTTCACAGCAGCACATGGGTCGTAAGCTGCTAGAAGAACTTTCCTCAGGCGCCAATTACTCCCAACACCTTCCCAAGTCCTAACCACCAGCGCTGCCATAAGACCTCTAATAAACGGCATCCATCCAGGTCACTAAAAATGAGGAACGTTTACTGGCTGCCTACCCAGGCGCTGAGCAAGTGGTTACGTGACTCCTTTAGGCACCATGGTTAGAAAGTGGGTGCTGTTACTATTCCTGTTTTACAGAATGGGTAACAGAGGCTGCAAGAGGCTAAGTTACTTTCCTAAGGTGAGAAGTGGCAGAGCCAAGGTTCAGCCTCCAGGTCTGACTGGCTTCTTCACCGTGCTACAAGATTTTTGCCATAAAATAGCTTCAGGAGAGCTGGTTTCGTATTTGGAGAAACAAAATAATGCCTCTGACTCTGTGATCATCATGGGCAATTACAAACACACACAAAAATCACTTGTCCCATGGTTTCCAAGGGCGGCAAGGCCATTCGGAGACCCGGCCAGTGCCGTCACCCGCAGAGACCAAGCGACCACCCCGAGCCGCAGTGGAGAGCAGAGCTAGGACTGAAAAACTGGGCCCCGGCTCAGTGGCTGCTCTTTACCAACAATCATGCTGACACCAAACAACAAACACCGAAATGCACCCTCCTGCAGCCCCCGCGACACTCACCATAGCAGCGTTGTGTTCCTCCAGCGCCGCCGCCCTGATCACCTTGCGGAGGAGCCGCCTGTTCCGGAGAGCATGCTGCTGTCTCTTAAAACGCTCATAGAGTAACTGGTTGTGCAGTAAAAGCAACTGGTTACGGAGGGTGCGGATCTCATCTGAGGGAGGAGAGCCTGATTTTAAAGCAGAGGGAGGGTGGCAGAGATGCCTTTTACAGATGGTTCCATCAAGACCCTCCCACGGTTAGCTAGCCTAAGAAACACAATTCTCTCAGAAACAAGCCACCACTCCTTTTGCAAACGGTCACCTGGGTCTCAGCGACGGTCATGCATCAGGAGAGGGGAAAGAGGACCGACTATCTAGCTCTCCTTTAAAGGAGCACAAAAGGCTAGAACGTAGGAGGGCTCCTGAGAGCTTCACGGACTTTTCCCACAGACCCAAACCATATGCCCAGTTTAGTCAAGGCTCCTCTCTTCCCTCCCATGCTGTGTCCTCCCCCAGGCACAGCCCCAGCCACCGACCTCGTGGGGTCTTTTCTAAGAAAGCCCGGCACGAGGTCAGTGCTTTCTGCGTTTTCAGCCTCGGGCACCTGCTATATGCCACTTTTCAAAAGTAGAAAATCCTGGCTTTGCAACATTTGAGATATTAGGGGCCAAGCAGACTCTGGCTAGAGCAGCAGCAAACGGGGGACCTGTTCCTACAGGGCACGCCTCCTTCGAGGACAGAAAAGGTGACAAGCACGCAGGATCCACACGGGCCGGTCTGGAGCACAAGTAACAACTTTACCTCCAAAGTGGGTCCAGTCGACAGACTTGCTGGGTAAAGACAACCTAGGAAGAAAGGTTTGGGGGAACAAAGTTACCGAGCTTGCCTGGACAACCTTCTCTGGACTGTGCATTGCCACAAGGCCAGATCACCTCCTTGCGGTCAAAAGCAGCAACTGTGTATGAAAGTTTCAATCCCCAGGTCCACGGGGAATTAGAGGAGGCGATGCGCATCGGACGGAGGGCCGGCGCCCCCACCGAGCATGACCAAGTCTTCAGGGTGCGGATGCCCTCCCTCAGAGCTCGCGCCGGGGCCGATCTTTGCTCGGCTCACCAAGGCGACGGAGTGATCAACAGACTGCCAGCTATTTTCAACCCTCTGCACCGAAATACATGGGGGGTAGCCAAGCTTAAGGAAAAAGGAGGTAATGTACCTGAGCCCATTATACCAAATCTCATTCAAAGAGAGAAATCTCTGTCAAATTCCACCTGAGGTTACATTGAAGAAAAATTAAAACCAAGGCCTTATTTAGCAAGAGCCGAGGATTCAAACTCAGGAACTGGTGATGCCCTCGCCCCCCTCCTAGAGAACCAGTGAAAAGGGCAGGAGTAGAAGGGTTGGAACAGCAGCTCAGACAAGCCTCTCAGAGGCAAGCCTGTGTGCAAGTGCAGGCATGGAGGGCGGGCAGGCCCCCCGGATTGCCCTGAAATTTCGCCGCTGACTTTACTTTCCATCTGATGAGCCACGTTACCTAAACAGAAAAAACAAACCTGTAGCTGGAGAAGGACACACCGGGACAGAGACTCCTAGGTCCCCTGAGTACCAGAGCCTCACCCTCACGTTCTCGGGGCATGGGTGAGCACGCCCGAGTGCCCTGGCAGGACAGCGCCGGGGACTGGCGGCCCAGTGCAGACATGGCACAGCCCCGCACGTGTGCAAAGGTAACGACCGGAAGGACAGAGGGAAGCCAGCCGCCCCCCCCCGGAGTGAAGAACGAGTCCCCTGCACCTGCCGGACTTCACCCTGAGGGAATGTTGAGGGAAGAGACACGGCGGCAGGGCCTTACTTGTTCAGCTCCTTGCTGTGCGCATCTGCTCCCTGCTGGATCAGTCTATCCAGGACTTCCGCGGGGGAGGTCGAGGGCGGATAGTCTTCTTCTGCATTTCCTTTTGCTTTCTTTAACAGTTCCTTGGTCTTCTTGCTGACAAAATGATGGGCGGTCTTTGGCAATGCCACCTCAAAAAGATGATCATAAGGGGGAGGCTGCCCACTTCCATACCCCACTCCCCTCTGAGGTGGAATTTTACAAGGGCTGGGAGTGAGGATGTTGGTCTCCAGCGAAGTCTGGTGCTCCCTGTTCCCGGCAGGGCTTTCGTCGGCGCCTCCACAGGGTGGGTCTATGGGAGTAAAGGCTTGCTTTGGTGTGTCAGGCCCAAGCTTGTCCAGGGAGGAGTTTAAAGGCTCAGGGTTCACATTGGCACCCTGAGCACCAGAGGTGGCCGAATGGTTCTTGCGAGGACAGCCCGGAAGACTGTCCCGGTAGAAGGGAGAGTCAAAGCCTCCTCGAGGAACCAGGGGCTCGGTGTCGGCCGTCGTGATCTCGGAGAGTTCTTTAGATATCGCCGCTGAGAGGAGGGAGGAAGACAAGAGACACCACTGTAAACAGGCCATCTGGGTAAGGCCGGGCCGTGCGGGGCTGTGTGCTGCCAAGGGCCACCCTTTTCCCTGCACAGGACCCAGAATAAAACTCCCACCTCCTTCCCCCAAGAGGAGAAGAACCAAGCAAGCCCGGGAGTGTTGACACTACATCCTGGTTTCAGGACAGTGAGAGCCCCCATGTCGTAGCAATCTTGTACCAGCCCGGAACCCCACACACTACCTTCTTCTTTAGCTTTCTCAATGCTATCTTCTTCGGAGGCCAGGTCCCCTAAAAACCCTGGAAGGTCACTTAGAGCGACAGAACCTTTGCTGCCAGGTAGCTCTTCTAAAGAGAAACAAAGACAATTCAAGTCAAAGAACTACACAGGTAACCCCCACAACTGTGAGACCACTCGCCCCGCGGTGGTGGCATCCATAACGATTCTTCCTGCCGAGTGAAGGGAGGAGGCTAGAAACGGCTCTCCCCTGGAGCAACCCCAGAAAGCGAGGCTGCCACAAGGAGTCTAAGCAAAGGGACCAAAAACTATAATCCCACAAAAAATAAAATCCTCCATTCTTAACATCTCAGAGATCAGATAAACACCACAGTCTGACCAGCTCAAAACACAGGTAACAGGTACTTCACTGCAATCGCTTAAAAGCTTTTTTTGATGTTTGTTATTATTAGGTTGGTTTTTAGAATTAATTACTCCTCATTATATCTGGGCTTCATCGTTTTGTGGTGGTCCTGAATTTTCTTATTTGCACACATAACCCAAGCGGAGACAAGCAAGGTCTAGGGTTACCCAGAGACTTTACCTAATCCTCTGTCGTTCGGAAGATGGTGCTGTCTGTGTAGACAGGGCCTTGCTGAATCTGTTTTCTCTTCCTGAAAAGATAGTACCATTTACGTCACAAGGCAGAAAATTGTGTATGCATTCTCTTCTGTAAGAGACATATCCTAAAAATCTAAAACTTTAACACATTATAAAGGAGTTTAAAGTTCAGCTCAGTGGTTCTCAAACTGTTTGGTCTCAGGGTGCCTTCTTAGTCTTAAAAACCGAGAGTCCCCTGAGCTTTTATTTACGTGGTTCTAACTACTGATAGTTACCACATTAGAAATCAAAACAAACGTTTTAAAAATATTTACCAATTCACTTAAAAATAACAAACCCATTATCCATAAATATAAATGATATATATTCTTATGAAAAATAACTACAGTTCCCAAGATAATAAAAACAAATTTAGTGAGAAGAGTGGAATTGTTCTACATTTGCGCTAGCTCTTCCGTGTCTGGCTTAATGGAAGAACGCTGGATGCTCAGCTCTGCCTCTGTACTCAGTCGGTTGCAATATGTTATTTTGGCTAAAGTCTATGAAGGAACTTCTGAGCTCCAGTGTCAAGTAGTTTAAAAAAGACTTAATCTTTGACGACTTGACAAGGAGTCATTTCTTAGAGGTTACAGTGTGGAATCTGAAACCAGGACATTTCACCTTTCATGCTGCGTTCAAGACCGCTGGTGTACTCTGTGCTCTGAATGCACCTTTCACCTACGGCGGGCTCTGGAACATCGCACACTGGACATTTAGAAGATCCTGGCTGGCCACATTGGGCAGGGCTTCCCAGTGTGGAAATATTCACCACATGACATCAAAAACTCGATTATTCACCAAGCTCCCCAGGACGTTTCAACCTCTTCATAAAAGTCTCGGGGACACTATCAAGCTCACAGTGACGGAGATTGGGTTTTTCATATTCTAATTTCACCTGAAACCTGAATTTTACCATCAGCAGCAAACACCGTCCGTTGTTTGTTTTGAAGTGACAGCTGGTCATGTAAGCAGTAGCCTGCCCCATACCCGGGTCTAAATAAGCATCGTTTGTCAGTCAGTTGTTCCTCCACACCAGACTGGTGCCCCACGAAAAATGTAGCTGGTCTAGCAATCAACTCAAGTCACGGCACAAAGGTTTGTGATGGACCCCCTACTTTAGCTCAAAGAATATTAAGCATGTATGTTCTCAAGGGTCGCAATAGAATAAAATGAATCATTTTTACTGTTTTCCACGGAACACTCTTAAGGTACCGGTGTTTTGGGCTTTTTATCTTTCGTTCTTTTAAACTGAAGACACACGTCAAGGAAGAAGGCGATGCGCCCCGGGCAATTTGGCGCTGGCCCTGATTTGCGCTGGGGGCCAGCCCTTCTCCGCCACGCTGCTCTGCACCACAAGAGCAAACGCCAACGTGGTCAGGAGGGGAAAGAGATTAGTATTACGATGAAAGCGGTCAAGCTCCTGGGTCCCCAGAAAGGCTTCTGGAGCCCCAGGGGTAAGCAGATAACACTCTGAGAGCTGCTGGCTAGTCTATTATCAGTTGCCCTGCTCCAAACCCATCACATCTCAGGTCCAAATTCCATCTGACATAACAAGCTTCCTTCCCCAAGTGAGGCCACACACGGGTCACTGTGCTGGGGCAGAGGGAGCGCGGACATGCCTGCACATACCTTCTTGGGGGGTGTGGCTGTGGCGTGCCGGAGGGCAATGTGCACGTAGTCGTCCGAGTGGCAGAGTGGGGCGGGAGGAGGAGACGTTGCTGGGGTTCCCAGAGGAGTTCCTTTTCCACCTGCTCACAGGCAAGGACAACATATACACCATCACCAAGCCTATTAAAAAACTCTGAATTTTTCCAGCCTGCCTGGGACAATGAAGAAAGCTGCTAGAGTGAACTTTCTAGGGAGCTTGAGCCATCTTTTTTTGGGGGGCGGTTTTAGAACTTTCTAGGTTCTAAAAACCCCAGGGTTTTACAGGAAGTGTCGAAAACAGGTTGACTACTGTAAGCAGCCCCAAACTCACTGCTGGATCTAAGAGACAGTTCCTTGTCATACACATCAGGCCCAGACCAACCAACCGAATCCCACCTCAGACATACATACCAGTTGTACCAAAGACTTTACTGTAAGGGTGTGACAGATCAGGTGGGACATTTCCAGGAGAAGTTGGAGGAGTGGTCATACCACAAACCATAGATGGGCTCCAAAGAGTAGCCTAGGACGTTAATAAGGCATGTCAGCAATAAGAAATGAACACCAAATCATCCCCAAGGCTTATACTCATGAGTGAATGGAAAAAGGTATCATATTAAAACTTTATTATGAGGCAAGGTGCATTTTGTAAATCTAGACTCCAAGAGAAACCCAAGTGGTAACAGTAACTAACTTTCCTAATACCATGTACCCTTAAAAATCACTCCTAAATTGAGCAGTGTAAGATTTTCCCAACTGTATGCTAAATCCCAACCCAAACAGCTTCACCAACAAGCAGGAAAGCGAGCAGGCACACTCTTTAACACCATACTTGTGGCGGCTCAGTCAACAGCCGTGTCGATGGGGGACTCAGAGTCTGAGGTGGATGCCCGGGCATGTTTAACAACATCAGCCAAGAGCTGGAATAAGGGGTCGAGGTAGCACTCCCTAAAATGAAAGGGAAAGAGCACGTGAGATTAGTGTGTGATTTTAGATTATTCTGGAAAAAAAAAATTATGGCCCTCTAAACCATTCGATAATGTTCATATTATCGCATTATCGATGTCAGGGAACTCTTGACATCCCAGGGACAAAGTAACATTTGAATGGCTCTTTAAATGCTCTTTGGAAATATTTCAGTAAGGTTGTTTTTTTGTTTTGTTTTTAAGATTTTATTTATTTATTTTGGGGGGGAGGGGCAGAGTGGGAAGGAGCGGAAGAGGGAAAGAATCTCAAGCAGACTCCCCACTGAGTGTGGAACCCAACTCACGGCTCAATCCCAGGACCCTGAGATCACAACCTGAGCCAAAATCAAGTCAAACACTCAACTGACTAAGCCACTCAGGCTCCCCAAGTTCAGTAAGATTTAATGTCAAGTTAAGCTTCAGAATAACTTGAAAAAGCCCAGCCTGGATGACACCTTTAATGGGTACTACCTACAGATAAGCCCGCCTTTTCTAGAAACCAATTCTAAATTGTCCAGACTCAAACTGTATCAGTGAGTGCTACAGCCTGGGGGCCCCAGTGCAAGCACCTGAAACATAGAAAGACTCTGATGGGGTGCTGCCGGGAAGTCGAATCCTCAAGTCCATATTCCTTTTTCTGTGTTAAAAACCCACCCCCAAGTCCGATGGCATACTGTCGGGTAGGAGACCAGAGATGCAAGGCTCTGAATTAAACTTGAAAAAGGGGTTAATCAGGAGAAACTGGAGGCAAGTTCTAATTTCCAATATTTGGCAAACAGTTCCTAGGAGTGACAGTGAGTCTTATCCCAGGAAAAGAAAATAAAGTTGACATAAATGAGCCATGCTTTCCAGAGACGAAGCTGGGAAGCAGGTAAGTGCTGAGGTCACTCTTACCACAGCTATTCTGCGTGTCGACGTAAGGGCTGGCGGCCACATCGGCCGCACGATGAGGAAAGCGCGCGGACACCTGCGGGGACACGGAGTCGCCATCTTCGTACGAGGCTTCTGCGGGGTCCAGAGAGATTTTGGCACACTCTATTACAACATCATGTGTTTCTAATCTCTTCCACCTGGAAGAGGCAACGATAATTAAGAAAGGCAAGTTGGAATCCATTTACTCAAACAACCAAACCCTTAAGAATGCTAACGCAAGGCCAGGCATGGAACTAGGATTAGCGAAGGACAAGGCAGAACCCTGCCAGCCCAAGTATTAAACAGTACGGGTATATTAAGAATCAGCCATTCATTTTACAAACCTCTACCTTCCCTACCTAAAATGGTCATTATCAGGTTATCAGAAACTAACCTGAATCGAAAATGTCATCAACAAACGACTGGGCATAGCCTCAAAAGGGCACAAACTACACCAAGCAGTCACCAGGGGGACTTCTCCCTCAGAACAAAGGTTATCAAAGAACAGGGAGACCTGGAAAATGCCAGGTAGCTGAGGTGGATTTATAGTCTCCTATCAGAGCCTAGGGGCTTCTAATCCATCTCTAGACAGGAAATACGGCGCAGAAAGACTCAAACCTAGAGAAAGCCCACGAGGACATTTTTTAAATCAGCCAAAGATTCCTGTCACATGATCCACAGTTCCACTTCTAAGATTTAGCCTGTGGAAATCGACATACGTCAAGACAGACAACAATGCTCAGCACAGCTTGTCACAGAAAAAAGAAATAACCCAAAGTCACACCAAAGGGATATATTCTATAGAAGAAAAATTGTTACACCATCATGAAAAAGCATGCTCTCAGCAGGTCACTGGTTGCCAAGTGTCAGGAAGGAGACTGACCACAAAGGACAGAGAGGAACCTTGTGGGCAGTGATACATTCTTTATCATGAGTAACTTTTGTCAAAACTCAACAAAACTGATGAATCTTATTGTATGTCAACTATATCTTCCTAAGCTGATTTTAAAAAATCATGTTTTCAAAGATTCAGTGATGTAAGATGGTCAGGGTATGAGCTTCAATGAATAAAGGATTCGAAACTACTCAGAGATATGCCCACAGAGAGAGATGACGACACTGAGTGTTCAAATTAAAAGAACTGAAGTTATGGGTGATGTTCTTTTCCTTTCTAGTATTTGCCAAATGTTCTACAAAAGCCCTAGTAATTAATACAGCGTGCACCTGCTCAAGTATAAACTTTGAGACAACATAATTTCGCTATCCAGATTTCTAAGTAAGTAGGAATCTAGCAAGACTCTCATCTTCATGTTCCAAATTTCACAGGAAAACAGCCCAGCACTAAGGGCATGCCATGGGTTTACCCCAACAAAACATCTACTCCTCCACAACTGCTCTAGAAAACTCATCATTCAATCTGAGATACTGAAAATATGATATCAAATACAGAACAAGAGTCCTCAGAGCATGGGCAGCATTCCTAAGGGAAAAGCCTTTTGACATCAGCACCGCACCTCCGGTCTGCATGGGTGCTCACTGCCCGGGGTACCTGTGTGTGGTAAGGGCGGTAGCCTCCCCAAGTATTCTCGACACAACCGGCAAGGGATGAAGTGAGAGCAAGGGTCAGGATGCTTATGTACACACAGGAGCATCGCTTTTAGAGAATAAAGTGAAACTCACAATACAGTAGCAATACATTAAATGTCTGATTTATACGCACTTTTTTACGCTATTTCCTCGATTCTTAAAAGGACTCTTCCCACTTAATGTTTCTGAAACTGGGAAGTCATATCTAATCAGGTGTGTGTGTTAGTTTTTGTGGCATTTTTTTCTTTCTCAGACGAACATAAAATAGAAGTACTCCATGGCATCTTGCATTTAATGAAATACGGTAGTTTAAAAAGTCAATTAAGAGGTCCCTCCCATGCCATTCCCCTCAACCGCTTTGGCAGCTGCTTCCGATCTGTTGGCTGAACTGGTACCCTGCCTGCATATTTTTAAAGAATACGCCCTACGCTCTGAATTTCCAGACACACAGATTGTACCCATCATCTACTGACTTCTATTACAGTCAGTGAGGATGCAGGCCACTTCTGTATATCCTTCTTCCTCCTCCCTGATGCTCTCAACAGACGTGTATCATAGATTCATTTTCTTCAAAATCAGTTTTCAATGATTATTAGGACTATGCAAATACTATGCATGACTGAGCCAAAGAGTGTACTACAAGATTTCCTTTTCTGTTAGATTTAGTTTGTCCTGGAGTTTGGATTTTTGTTTCTTTTCCTCAGTCCTCTGTGTTTCTATTATAATTCTTCCTAAACTTACCCTAACAGCTCTGAAACAATGCCTGATATAATTTTTACATAATGATATGCAAATAAGCTACTGGAATTATCCCCTCCCCCGCCCCACTAGCTCCCTTCTGGAGCCTTCTCTCTCCCACTTCTGTCGAGACTGGTTTGTTCTGAGGGCTGCTGTGCAGTGTTACCTTAAGACTTCCCATGACCATGATCCTAAGTCAGGTCCCCTTGTTTCCTGGACTCTGTCTCACCAGATTCTACTCTCATTTTGATGGAACACATGCCCCAGTAGTTAGCTGAGCAGGGGTCCATGAGAGGTAAATGTGAGTCCTTGCATATTTAAAACTGTCACACTTGACAGGCAGTTTGGCTGGGTCTAGAATTCTATGTTGAAGACCTTTTTGTCTCAATTAGTTTCAGAAGCTAATACCATTCTGACCTGATTCTTATTAAGCATTTTGGTCTTCTCTCTCTGAAAGGTTTATCCCTGGTGTTTTGAGATTCACCACACTGAGACTCGGTAGCATTCTCTCTCACTGACAGAAGCTCGGCGCCAGGTGAGACCCTTCAATCTGGAAACACGTGTCCTTCGATCCTCCCATTGTTATATTTCTTTGTATTTTTCACACTTATATTGGAAATTTTCTTCTTTTACAATTTCCTCCCCCAAGAAAGTCTTCTCCTCTCTTTCTAAAGCTCTTTTTTCTTGGATGTTGGACTTCCTGTATTTTAAGTTTCTTATCTCTCTGCCCAGAATACGCATCTCTATCCTTTGATTCTGCTGAGATAGTCTTAACTTTATCTTCCAGTTCTTTTGTTGAAGTCTTGACTTCAGCTCTCACTTTTCATTTTCAAGGCTTCTTTGTCTCTGAATGTTCCCCCCCCATGGCACTGTGACCTCTACACGTGCTCAAATGCCCCATTTCAGTGGCTACTACAGATACTTTCCTCCTCTCTCTGTATTATCAGTTTCTTTCTAACTCCATTTTCTCTTTATGTTGGTCTTTTTTTTTTTTTTTAAGATTTTTATTTATTTATTTGACAGAGAGAGAGAGACATAGTGAGAGAGGGGACACAAGCAGGGGGAGTGGGAGAGGGAGAAGCAGACTTCCCGCTGAGCAGGGAGCCCGATGTGGGACTCGATCCCAGGACCCTGGGATCACAGCCTGAGCCGAAGGCAGATGCTGATTGACTGAGCCACCCAGGCGCCCCCTTTTTTTTTTTTAAAAAGCTTTTATTTATTTATTTGAGGGAGAGAGAGCAAGCACACAAGTTGGGGTGGGGGGGGAAGACAGAGGGAGAAGCAGACGCTCCGCTGACAGGGAGCCCAACGTGGGGCTCGATCCCAGGACCCTGGGATCATGACCTGAGCCGAAGGCAGACGCTTAACTGACTGAGCCACCCAGGCGCCCCTATGTTGGTCTCTTGTCTTTTGTGTTAGAGCTTTCTTCAAAAGCCAGATGACCCCTGCCTACCCATGGGAAGCGAGGCTCTCTAAGCTGGCCTGGGAGACTTCCAAGTTAGTCTCACAGACTGAACATAGGCATCCAATTGTATAACCTCCCAAATCCACCAAATCTACAGTATGGACTCGTTTGTTTTTAAATATAAACCTATGAGAAGGAGAAGAATGGGGGAAGACAGATCGGCACTGCAGGCTCCTGAAACTAGAAAGGAGACAGGCCACACGCAACCTGAGTAGCAAATCCAAGAACGCAGAATCCTAAGCTCCCATTGTTTCAAAGCTAAAAGTCACCCTGACTTATACTGCAGAATCCTTAAAAAGCTAAAGAATTTTCGCACCTCAAGTGCTTCCGGAACTGTAGATGAGCGACAGGTAGATGAGGACGGCTAGCCTGGGGAAGACAGGGGGAAAACTATTTGAGGGTCAGAGTCCCAGGGTCTCCTCCCCGACTCTATGCTCCCAGGCAGCAGAAATCTGGGCTATTCTCTGGAAAGAGTAAAACAGATTTTCGGGACCGAGCTACTCCAGAAATAGTTGAGGACATGAGTACCCTTCAAGCAAGGGATTTAAGTGAGCATGTACATTCTGAATGCCAAGACCACTAACCTCTCTCACCACTAGCCTCTTCCCTCCAGCAGCAGCCAGACCCTCCTCAGACTAGCGATTAGAAGACCCTTCTCTACAAAAACTTGACACGATAGAGGAGGAACACGATACTGACATCAGGATCTCCAACAGACGTTCAGACCCGTGGGCACGCACGTGCATGCGCACACACACACACATGGCAAGCTCAGAGGCGACAAGTCCCACCCCTGTGAAGAGAGCTTTTTGGTCTCCCTACCCAGACACAAGCAGATCATCAGATCTTTGCAGAAAGCCTAGAAGACTTCAAAAGAACAGCAGTCCATGGATTACATGGGGAACAAACGGCTCTCAGCATTCTTGAGGATGTGAGAGGTTGCACCCATGAAACCCCAAACAAGCTACTACAAGGAGGAGCATTCAGAGACCTATAAAATACTCTTAGATGCTAAGAACATGGCACTAGGAGGGAAACTTACAACAGGATTAAAAGCTAAAGATGAGGAGACCTTCAGAAAGAACAAAAGAGTAGAGAGAAAAAACAGAAGAGCAAAGAAAAGCAGAGGACACTCTAGGAGGCCCCAATCTACATACCAGCAGTTCCAGAAAGACAGACAGACACAATGGAAGGAAGGAAATCAAACACGAGATAACTAAAGAAAATTTCCTAGAGCCTGAAGATAAGAGTTTCCAGATTAAAGAAGAACAGATTCTGACTAGGCAATGTCGGAATAAGAGGAGAACGAAGAGAGAGCTCTACAGGCTCCTGTAGAGAAAAACAGGGCAAATACAGACATGAGAAATGAGAAGAGCTTTGGATTTCAACAGCAACATTGGCAGCAAGATGCAATGGCACGAGGTCTTCAGGCTGCAGAATGAGGGGGACCAGAAGTCTGTACCCAGCCACATAACTGCTTCCTTTCTCTGAGAGCTACTAGAGGGTACACTCCACAAAAACAAAAGCAAACCCAGAAAAGAGACAGGAGACACAGACAATGGGCAGTCCTGCACAGGAAGAGATGTAGAAGACCACCGTGCACAAGGCACGGATCTGACAGGCAGGCCAAGAGACAGGCACATGGCAGGCTGCCACCCTCGTCCCCACTGCCACCGCACTACCTTCTTTTTTATTTTTTTTTAAAGACTTTATTTATTCATTTATTCAAGAGAGAGAGAAACAGCATGAGAGGGGAGAGGGTCAGAGGGAGAAGCAGGCTCCCCGCTGAGCCGGGAGCCCGATGCGGGACTCGATCCCGGGACTCCGGGATCATGACCTGAGCCGAAGGCAGTCGCTTAACCCACTGAGCCTCCCAGCCGCCCCACCGCACTATCTTCTTAACGGAGGGATGCAGTGTGCAGGTGACCCCAGCCCGGACAGGTTGTCTGTGCTTAGTCTGTCCTGAGTAAGCACTGATGAAGGCCCTACTCTCCCTTCTCCGCCTGGATCAGCTCCACAGATGGACGCTGCCCTGACCTGCTCCTGCAAGTGGGCCACCATGAGCTGAGAAGCAGCAAACGAGTAGTCTTTGTCCTCTGCCACGTTTCGGCAGCACATCTAGAAGCCGGCCTCGCTACAGGCCCCGTGAGATGCTCTGACTAGGGTGAGCATTCTGTGTCTCAGGTCTTCCTCGTGAATGACCTTGCCCACTGACACCCCCCACCCCGGGGCTCCCGTCAACTCTCAATGAAGGGAAGCCGGACGAAGACGCAAACACTGGGCTCTTCCCCTTGCCTCCTGAGAACCTTCATCTAATAGTGATAGGACTGCCCCTTCCTTAGCCTGGCTTGGCTTCCCAGTTAGCTTTCCAAAGCATAACGATACACGTGGTAAAACTCTACAAAAAAGAAAGAACAATTAACATAAAAGCAATTACGGGAGTTTCTCTGAAGTGGGACAGGGAACAGTGAGAAAGATGTGTAGCAATGTTCCAGCTGAGAAGCTGGACGGCGGCTGTGTGCCCAGGTACTCATATGATGTTATTACACTTTACAGGCACAATTCGTATACCTCTCCACATACCATCTCTCTCACGCAAAGTTGTTTTGAGCCAACTGAGGCTCTGCATGACAGAGCGAGGGCTTATCAGGTGAGATCAGGCATGAACCAGCTTTTTCAGTGGGAGATCCCTAAATGTCAGTTATCTGTGGACAGGTTTCCCCAAAAAGGGTTCAATCCTCAGCCGGGGGCGGGGGGCATCGGCCTAGCTGCCAGCCAGGGAAGGTGGAGGAGGGAGCTGAGCTTCTCCCAGCTCCGTGCAGAGAACTTCATCCCTTCTTAGCTCCACCTGCCCCACGACTGGCATCCTCACATAGGAAGCCTGGCAGGTGCACTTCCTCCACAGAATAAACCTAGAGACTGCTCAGGGTCCCCTGGAGGCCGGCCGGCCGGCCGTTGCCTGGCTACCTGCAGGGGGAGGCTCCCCACTTGACACCCACAATTCCCACAACCCACTTGTTTTCAACTACATGCTGCTCAGCCTGCCTCGTGCAATCACCAGTACCCCCGATCACCAGTATCCCCAAGCTGGACGCCTTCCTGGGGCTCTGCGGGGCCGGCGTCTGCACGGCAACCGCCTCTGCTCCCCTGGAGGAATGGTTAATTCTCTGTCTGTGAGGCGTATGTTTCAGACTTCTTGAACCAAGTTCTAGCTGTACAAGTCCTTCAAAACAGAGTGATTCTACAAGTAGAAGAACCTGTATTCCCAAATAATACCTCAGTAGGGACATCGCCTACAGCACGTTAATCTGTCAAGAGATGCTATAAAATTCTGAGTCGCTAGCTTCATTTCTATACCTTCGAGGGTCCAGTTCGTGGTCCTTGGATCCAGTCACTAATTCCGGGTGAATTCGCACGTGCTCCATCATTGGCTAGAAGAGTTTGGGTTGACAAATTACAAAAGGCTTAATTTCTATGGTATCTCCCCACAGTGGAATATTACTTGACAATAAAAAGGAATGGAGTCCTGACATCTGCTACACGGCACGGAGGACCCCTGAAACATTCCACCAAGTGAAAGAAATCAGTCCCAAAAGACCACGTACTATATGATCCCATGTCTGTGAAACGCTCATCAGGAGAGGCAAGTCTACAAAGGCAGAAAGGAGATCAGTGGTTGCCTAGGGCTGGGGCTATGGGGAGAGCTGAAGTGCTTTTCAAAATCTGTCTCCCACTGAATACATGGGTCCCAAACCACAGCCTGTGCGCACAGTATGCAGGCTCTCAAATGAGCAGTCTTCACTTACCCTGACCACTTCTTCAAAAGTGTCCAAGTTCTCCTTCATACTGTAGTGAGAGCGTAGAAAGGAGACAAAGTTGCAAGGGTACATTCCGTAGAGGCGATGAAAGAGAGCATAAACACTGGCATGGAGATGGACAAGATAGATTTCTGTCACGTGGCCTAAAACAGGAAATCATGGACAGGAGACTCAGCCAGACACAAGAGGACTTGTGCAAAGCAAACGTGAGCACGTGGCCGCCAGCATGACCTGCGGTCGATTGCTCCCACCTCACTCCACAGATAGCAAGAGTGTTTTTCTAAAATGCAAATCTTAACACACCAAACACTCCTCTTTAAAATCCATCAGTGGCTCCCTACGGCCTTGGGATAAACTCCAATCTACTTAGAATGACCCCTAAAGGCCCCTACGGATCCAATCCTACACTCCTGTCTTCACTCGACACTCTCACAATACCGACCTAACTTTCTCATGATAATCACTCTCCCTAAAATTTGTTCTTGTTGTTTTTTATGATTATTATTTTAAGTAAAGTCTACGCCACACATGGGGCTCCCAACTCACGACCCTGAGGTCAAGAGTTGCATGCTCTACCAACTGAGCCAGCCAGGTGCCCTCCAAAAATTTGTAATGATACCTCTCCACTGTCCTGTTTAGCATGAATTTCTTGAGTTTCTTGAACTCTCTTACTGCACCGTCTTACTAACCTCTGTACCCTTAGTGCCTTGCACAGTGCTTGGTGCAGAACAGACATTCAAATATTTACAGAACAAATGTGAGAGATCCTTTTGAAATCAGTGTGTAGTCTTAGTTATGCAGATTTGTAACTAAAGAGTAAAAATACTATTGTCTAGAAACTAGCTTAAGAAGCTGAGAGTGGGAGAAACTGAACACTTTGTTCATCGAGCCTCACCCAGACCCCATGGAAAACCCCAAGTCCATAGGATCCGTACAGCTCCTCCATAATAATGGACAGACCACTCCTTTCCTCCCCAGAAGAGCCTACTAAATAACCAGCATCACATGGATCTTGCACTTGTTATTAACCCTGTACAGGAAGCTATAGTACCTGGTGTGACACGGCTTACACACTTCATCTTTTCAACATGAATAGCTCATGCTGGCCTTACCAAAAGATTCCAAATATCACGTGCTTATAGCTTTGAAATCATTTTCATAGAGCGGGACTCCCTGCCAGTACGGGGAAAAATCCCACCACATTTAAAACGAGGACACTAATTAGGACCCGCTGCATTTTCCCTCCTCCTCCATACAAAAGACAGGTTCTCAGAACCAGAGGTTTGTGTTCTGTCACAACAGACCAGCAAAGTAAGACAAAAAGGTACCCCAAGCCTAGTCCTGTATTGCTACCACACGGATTGAAGGTATTTTGATAGATTGAAGTTTACTGACAATTAGGAAGTTTTACATCCTACCAGTTTCTCTGAAAACTAATCCTCTTAAGCCAACAGAATGAGGAAGGCATCTAATAGTCACGCCTACAGTGAGTACACCCAAGGCACTCCGCAACCAGCTGGTGAAACCCACCCATTCCAGCTACAAAAGTCTACACGTCTTTCCTTTACAGCTCATGACCTGTCAATCACTAACGAAAGCATTCACCTGGTAGGGAATGACAGGTATGTAAGGACATCTTTACCTGGTTTCTTCAGGCACCACGACGAAAGACGGCCAAAAATATCAAAGAAATCATGAAGGTGCTGCTTCCCCGACTGTGGAATCATTGGTAACATGGTTATCAACACTAAGACACCTGTTGTGAGGACGACGACATCGGTATCCATCTGTGGAAGGAAAGGTCGAGCAGGAAGAACACCTGTCAGACACAGCCTTAGAATCAGCACGAGCAGCACACCAAGAGGCTGCTCTAAATTCTAAGGGCATCACAAATTAGAGGTCCCCTCATAGACTCAGGTTCCTCACCCTCAGGTTTGAGGGGAACAACACTGATCAGACTTGACCATAATGAATCTGCAAAGACCACTTCTGCTGCCCCCAGACAAACCTATCTGGGAAAGAAACTTCAACCTGACCTGGGGACGCTCTGCCTATGGCACTTGGCACAGAAGCGTGACGAGATGCCTTTAACAGAACAAAGGAACATGACAGTTTCTGTCATGTTCAATCCTCAAATATTTACTTTTTGTTAATCAATTTAAAAAACACTACACAAGTAATGTCAAGTAATTCAGTATTTTTTAAAAGATTACAACAGAAGTGTAATTTAAGAAGAAATTAGCATAGTGCTAACAAATCTCCCTAACGGTGCACCTTGGTAGCAGCATTTATAGATCAGCAAATAAAAGATACGGTGACCTCTGACCATGTCTATAGTTTAAATATCAAGTCATATAACTTCAGGCTAATTGAAGACACTTAATACCCAATGGATAATGAATCAACTCTGGATAGCTACAGCAGCTCACCTGACCCATAATTAAATCATGAATGTTTGCCAAGTAACTGGAATTCAGATTTAAGAAGCAAGATATTAATCAAAAGACTACCACGCAGGCTAAGACATTCATTATTACTGTTAAAAAAAAGAAAATCTACAAGTCTGGAAATAAAGCCTTAAATAGATTTAGTTTTTACGTTAAGCACTAAGCCTTTTGTCAAGGCCGACATCTAGTAAGAAGAACGTAAAATATTGATAGGAGAATCAAGAACACATAACCAGTTCCAGTAAAAATGACTAACCCTAATTTTGCTTATGGTACTATTCTAACCAATGGCTCCATGAGCAATTGCCAAAGCTTACCCTTTTGGAAAAGTAAAGTGTTTTACAATCTGAACTGAATTGTGTGGCTTCAAAATTGAGTTATATTCTCTCCAATCCATTCACTTAAAAAAAAAGTAAGTTGTACCAATTGTTCCTGTTTTTTCTCAACATTAAATGCATGTTTTTATGATACCCTACCAACGTGACTCCCACCTCTAGGGGTAATGAAACAGTTACCCTTGCTGGCAGAGACAAAAATCAATTTGCAGGGTGCTGTATCAGATGATCCAGAGGTACTGCCATCCTGGGACAAATGCTACTGGATATTTTCACGTCTCTGTGAGGTACAGGCAGTTAATATTAACCACATTTTCTTATTTTATAGATAGGAAACAAGTCCAGGAATTAAAACAGATTAAGCAAATAGCCTGGAGTATTTCAGCAAGCCACTGTGAAAACTAAACCACAAAGTTCTACTCAGGTTTTGACTCACTGTGTAGAAAAATACACGAAATTTAGAATGCAAAAGGCAGAATGCGATTCAGGAGGCCTTGTATCAACAAAACCTTAATTATTGCTGCAACAAGAACATGGTCCTGAATGGTTAAAAAGAGCTGTTAGCCATTTTTCTCCTAGCTAAAAGAGAATCTGGGCTTCCCTCAAAGAGAAACCAGATGTCTGAACGGAGGTAAGACTGGACAATGATGGAGTCCAAGAGGGTGGGAATAATGTCACGTTGAACCTTATTTGCTTGGACAAAAGCCACTTGCCAGTCACCGGGATGCACTTAGAATTTACTAAGTACCAACTCTGGACGACATGACATTCGAGGAAAGCCAAACACTAAAAGTTTCTAAATTCTCAGAGTTCAAATCTAGCTTGCTTGCTTTAAAGTTACCCAGAATTTCAGAAATAATATTCACAAAGCCATTTCATTCAAACCCTTGCAAACATCGTACCTTGAGACATTTGAGTAAAGAAGGCAAAAGAGGTGCTTGAGAGAGTTTGTGCTTCCAAGGTGGCTGCAGCCTGATGACGTGCCCCAGCAGCGACAGTGCGGGCAGCCGAGAGGCGGCTCTGCCCATACAGTCATTCATTTTGTCCAAGAGGTGCTAAACACGTAAAAGAACAGGGGAAATAGGTCTCAGTAAGGCTGGGGGGAGGGGGGAGGGGGGAGGAAATCAAGGGAAACAAGGGAAATTCTCATGAGAACGTAGCAGGTGACACAAACAGAGGTAGCGAGGATGTACGCCAGTTCCTCGAGTCTCCATGGACGTGAAGCAAGGGCCATCCAGGTAAAGAGATCAAACGAAAGATCAAAACCACATTGGCACACAAAACACTGCTGCATTTAGCCTGAGAGAGGGCAGCCAGCTGGCAAGTCCTGAAAAAGGATCCTATGATACACAGGTGCAGGCCAGGAGGGTGAGGGGCAGACTCACTCATGGACTGTCTCATTAAGTACAAATAAGCCACTTTTTCCAAAAACTGCTGGTCCTGAGCCTGTGGCAGGTTGTCGAAGCTGTGAGGGTAGCAGCTGCTTATTGCTACCATAGCCCAGTCTACATGGTTTGGCCCCAAATATAAATCGGGTAATCTAGAAGTTAAAATTCAGCCCAGAAAACAACAGAACAAGATATACTGGAAAAGGCACACAACGGCAAGGCCTTCAAATCTTAGTGAAGCCACTAGCATTTAGAAACTCAACACTTAACCAAAGTATGCAACTACAATGCTTTGTGAGCTATTCACCACCAACAAAAATAAAACACTAAGGAGCCCACCAAGTGCCTGGTGCTGGGCAACAGGACTCATCAGTTAGCCCCACAGCTGTCTGGACCTATAGATTTCCCCACAATTGATTTAAGTCCAAAATCCTATTCAAAGCATGGATTTAAAGATGGGCACCTTACGTGTCAAACTGTCACTGTACAATGACAGCACTGGAATTATAAGATTTCTTGGAACAGCAAAAGCTTAAAAATAAACTCTAGAATACATTTTATTTTGTAAACTTTGCAGGACACATGGGTTCCATAAATTCTTTTTCCATGTGGCTGCAATCTGGGAACAGGATCATCTGCAGCACGGAGAAGATGAAGGCGCATGCTCTGGACATACGGCATGGGGTAGGGGTGCGCACAGAGGCCGCCACCCCGGCCGGGGCCAGACTGAATGGCCCAGCACTACGTTCCAGCAGTTACCTTGTCATGTGGCTCTTGCAAGGTAGTCAGGATGTGCAATACCGGCTGAGAATTGGTTTCCAGGTAATAGTCCACCAAGGTGTTTACGAGCATCGGACCACGGTCTGAACAAAGGAAAGGGAAATAATTATTTCCTTTAATATTCTAAACTTACCTCAAATGGCTGCCGGTCATGAAATCCAGAAAGTGGCTCCCCAAAGTTATGTGAAGCATTCTATTTCTACCCTTCAATCTATTTAGGTTTAACAATAGGATAATACCAAATTAACCTGCCTAAATATCAGTAAAAGCATAGAAATGCTATCTCCTTTTTTTATTGCCTTCTTTGCTTATAAAATTGTAACCACGTCCACTGATAACAACTCAGATGATGTGAAAGAACATAAAATGAAAGTCCTCCTCACTCCCAGCCTCTCAACCCACTCTTCAGAGACAAGCATCCTTGAGTTTGGTACACGTCCTTTCAAACATTTTCCTACTTGGATAACCACACATGTGCGCATGCGAACACAAAGCCCCGACACCCACTTACACGCAGCCTGTGTGTGTGTGTTTTCTTCCACTTAACAACGTGTTGCAGACACCCTCCCATGTCGGCACCTCTGACCTACTTCAGTCTCCTCACTGACCTGGAGCCCCACTGCTCGGCTCTACACAACTCAGTGAACCAGTCACCTACTGAAGGATACTTGGGTTTTTCCAGTTTTCACTAGACTTCATTCAACATTATAATGAAACACAGACTCTTGTCAGTGGGACACATGGTACATGCTTTTTATTGGGTGATGGATACTCCAAAAAGGCTGAATACTAATTTATTCTCCTGCCAACAGTGCCCAATTCTGTAATCAATATTTGATTTTTGTCAACCTAGTAAGCAAAGAAAGGTACTGTTGAAATTCCTGTTTCTCTGATCAAGGAGAGGTCACGCATTTTTATACCAGAAATCACATATGTGATTTCTGCATGGCATTTGCTTGAAAATACTTGGGTGGGGGGAGCAAGGGAGGAGAGATGAAACAAAAAGGCAGCAACTTTGAAGCTGGGTCATGGGTTCATTATGTAATTCTTACTTAATGAGTTGTGTGTCTATTTGAATATTTCCATAATCAAAAGCTTAAAGCACACACAGAGAGTGAATCTGGCAATTGATGCTCTTTTCTCAGTGGTTTTGGAGACTCTCCTTAGAAGATGAAAACCAACATCAGCGGACTATAGTCACTCCCAGGTCAGTCTCTTCTGATGCGCAGATGAGTGAGAACGGGCGCGACCCCGCTTACCAGAGCTGAGGTTCTCTTTAAAGACAGCTGTCACATCATCACGCACACTCAGCATGGGGGAGTCCAGCATGGACAGGAGCTCCCCGATATTCGCTTGCTGGGCCATTATCTTACACGACTGTGCTGCGCCAGGTCCGGGACGTGCACTAGCGACTCTGCAGGCTCTTCATTGGTGCCACTACCAGACTGAGAAAAAGGAAGACACACAGTGTGACAAAATGGCCCCATTTCTCCCCATAAAAAATTACCTGCAAGAGAAGCCAGCACATATGTTCAATGCAGTGAAAAGCCTGTCCAGAATTCTGATGATGAAAGAAGCTAGGGTGTGAGAATAATTCTACATTTGACAAATTTGTGAAGAAGAGGTCTATGGAATGCAAGCACCGGAGAGAGATGGGAAACACTGCTACCAGTGAGAACCATCGTGGCAACTTAATGCCAGGACCAAAGCAAAGTTTTTTATTTTCATTTCTACTTCTGACTCTGCCTTTGGTTCTGGCTAAGATTATGTTTACGTTTCAAATCATCCATCTAAAAAGTAGATGAGGAGCGCCTGGGTGGCTCAGTCATTTAAGCGTCTGTCTTCGGCTCAGGTCATGATTCTGGGGTCCTGGGATCAAGCCCCGGGCTCCCTGCTCAGCGGGGAGTCTGCTTCTCCTGCCACTCCCCCTGCTTGTGTCTCGCTCTCTGTCAAATAAATAAATAAAATCTTTCAAAAAATAAATAAATAAAAAGTAGACAAACTATTTTCTGAAGAACTAAAAACATGCTATTTTCCTCTTGACACTCCCATCAATGTCTAAAAGCTGGTCTAGCTCGTTAGGTCACAGGACCATCCATTCAATACTTCAATACCTCATTTGAACCAGGGACCACGTCTTGATATTTCATACAAACTCCTCCCCCCAGACATCTATCACACTCAAATGCCATTGGTCACAGGCAAGAGGCATGAAGTGGGGGCACAAGGGCAAATCTGCCCCCTTCAAAGACTCCATTCCTCCTGATGATGGAGCCACTGCCTTATCTGTATATACAAAAAAACAGCTCATTCTCCAGGTATCACTATCCACATTTACAATTATTTTTCTTTCCACTCGGGTGTCTAAAGGTATATTTTAAAAAACAAGCAAAACCAATGATCGTTTAAGAGACAGGAACTACACATCTTTTACAAACATCAGTGAATACAGTCCTTAGACCAGTATCATGCGGTTGGCTCTTCTGTCCCCATTTTGCGGGGAGAGAAACAGAAATGAAGCCATTTGCCTGGGATCGCAAAGCTAGCAAGAGGCAGAACCAGAGAACTGAAATTTAAACCCAGATCTGCTCGACTGCATAGCCCTGAGCCCTTCAACGTGACATCAAGCGACCTCATGGTTTTGATCCTCACAGCAATTCTGTGAGGTAAGCAGATACCCTCGATTACAAATGAGAATACGGAGGCTCAGAAAGGACAAGTAACTTTGCCAAGGTCACATGGTAAAGCAGAACTCAGACGGCTCAACTCCCAGGCCCATGGCTGCATCTGTCCTTGGTCGCCATGTTGCTTCCTCCAGTGCTGCTCTGAGTGGCTGGGG